CCCGTACTTCCTCAGAAGATTTTTTTTTTTTTTTTTGTGAAAGTGAAACATTAACTTTTGAGGTTTTTTTTGTTTGTTTGGTTTCATTCAAAGGATGTTTTTACGTTTAAAAAAGAAAGGACGCAAATAAAAAAGGATATCTAGGATGTGTGTGAAACACTGTTGTACGGTGTTTTTCTGCAAGTGTAATTTAAGTTGACTCATCCATCCAGCTCCCCATCCCCATTACACTTCTTTTGGTTTTCCTCTGTACATTGCTGTGGGTGTGAAGATAGTATTTTAATATTTGTATAAAGTTTAATTTAATTCTACATTGTGTATATAACTATTTCTAATTAAAGCTTTCATTTGAAGTACTCAAGTGGTGTGTTTACTTTGGTGAGTTTGATGCTTGTCATGTTGTGGTTTACTCTTTAACTGCTTTTATAGTTATATAATAATCCATACTGTCATATGACATGATGGATTCCATTGTAATGAGGGTAAAGTGCAGATTTCATTAGTTAGTAATTAATGTGCGTTAACGCCATCTAGTGTTCGAGCCCTGTACTACTAGTGTATAGTTGTAAAGGAAGTCCGGCTCATTTCCGCGTTTCGGTTCTTTTGAACGGTTCTTTCAAAGAAACGATTCAAAAGAACGATGCAGCTATTTACCTCATTATGTTGCAGCCTTAATGCATCTCATTTAGAATCTAAATAATAGTAAACCATCATGACCAGTCCAGTATGGTTTTTTGGTGAATCGGACCAAAAGAATGTGCCGGCTCCGAGAGATTTAGTTCGCGATTATTCACGAATCATTCAGACTCAATTTGTGAACCGGTTCAATTGATTCAGTACAATTCGTTGCAGTGCGAATTGCGAAAACGGCGTGTTTTATCTAAACAAGGTATTTTATGGTCGGAATAAATTTGGAAATTCAGATCAAAGTTACCACAGACACTACAAATTGTGTTTCGTCTCTCTTAAGAAAATTATTTTACCATACAGCCTTACGTTTGACATATTTTCCACCATTTTCTCAATACGTTGATAGCTACATAATGGTTCAAATTATTGAGTAATCACAGTAGAATTCACAGCGTATCTGTCAGTAGTGCAGCGGTTGTGGTGTTCTGAACTGATCTCAGATCAGCGCTGAAGCCGAGCCTCGTTCGCAGCTCTTCAGACTCCATTTTGTGTGAGGGGACTGTTCGGACAGGCACGACACATTCAGAGGACAAACATCAGGTAGAGGTATGTACCCGAGCCAGTATGTACTTAAGACATCTTCACACTTGCCTGAATTCTTCTTATAAGGGATGTGTTGTTTAAACGACTGTATTTTGTAGAGCGATTCAGCAGTTAATGATCTCTCTCTGGATGTGGGTTGTGGCCTCGAGCCTTTATTGTTGCAGAGATTCGTAACGTTAATGTTTGGTGTTTGACAATTGCAGAATGACAGTATTATTAGATCATGGTTGTTTTAACTTGTTTGTGCTTGTTTTGAGGAGGATGAGCGGTTGTCGTATTTTCATCGGTCGATTAAACCCCTCTGCTCGGGAAAAGGACGTCGAGCGGTTCTTCAAGGGTTATGGAAGAATCAGGGACATTGACCTGAAAAGAGGCTTCGGATTTGTAGTACGTTTTGCCTTTTTACAATTTAACAATATTGTAACAACATATTCTATGCATGTCAGTAGTTAGCTTCAATTGACTATATTAATAACACAACAAGGGCCGCGTTTTAAAGCCCAGTGAGCTGCCTACAGCGTTATTTGACCGCATTCACCAATGGTGGTAAGACAGCTCTCATTTTGCCTATATTTCTATAAAGTGTGTGTGTGTGTGTACACACACACAATTAAATTATAAATTACTATATATTTTCTAACCACCGTTTGGGGGAAGTCACTTCTAAGGATCACTAGAAGTTCGCATTTGCACACAGTAAAAACATTAATATTGATATTTTTAAAATAACTTTTCTGTTTTCATATACTTCAAACCATAATTTAATCCTTTGATGGAATAGAATTTTCAGCAGACATCATTACTCCAGTTATATTCAGTGTCACATGATCCTTCAGAAATCATTGTAATGTAAAGATTTGGTACTTAAAGGGATAGTTCACCCAAAATTCTGTCATTAATTACTCACCCTCATGTTGTTCCAAACTCGTAAGACCTTCGTTCATCTTCAGAACACAAATTAAGATATTTTTGATGAAATCCGAGAGCTTTCTAACCCTGCATAGACAGCAATGCAACTGAAATCTTCAAGGCCCATAAAGTTAGTAAGGACATCGTTAAAATAGTCCATGTGACATCAGTGGTTCAACTGTAATTTTATGAAGCTATGAGAATACGTTTTGAGTACAAAGAAAACAAATATAATGACTTTATTCAACGATTTCTTCTCTTCCAGATCAGTCTCCGCCACCATTCACAAGAATAGCAGACACATTAGGAGCACCACACGCATAGGTTGTGGTATTCTCATGAATGGCGGCGAAGACTGTTCTGGAAGAGAAGAAATCCTTTTTGTTCAAATTTCTTAACTGCTCAGTTTAGTATTAAATAAGTAATATTAATTGAAAAAATTAATTAGGAAAAATAAACTAAAGATCAAGAATGGCAACACGTCATTAAACCTCTGCAGTATATAATATTCACATGTAAATCTTGAGTTCTTTCTTGCAGGAATTTGATGATCCGAGAGATGCAGAAGATGCTGTTTATGAGCTTGATGGGAAAGAGCTCTGCAATGAGAGGTATGATCAGTGTTTATTTGTATATTGCTTTTCTCAGTACATATTGTTTAAAAACAGCCTTAATTTCCTCAGTGAGCAGGCTAAAAGCAACAGGGATAAGGAAAATCTATCTAAGATTGATTAGGTAGAGAAAAAGAAGAAGCCTTGGAGGGAACGGAGACTTAGCCGAGGCAGACACATGTCTAAGGGATGTTTTGATTTTAGGGTGACCATTGAACATGCCCGTGTGCGTCTGCGTGGAGGCCGAGGCCGTGGTGGTGGTGGAGGTCGTTTTCCTGGTCGGTATAGTCGTGGCTCCCAGGACAGCCGGAGGTAGGGGTCCATTTTTGTTCAATTTTCAATAGTTTTGGTTCAGTAAGATTTTTTATTTTTGTAAGAAATTAAAGGGGTCATATGATGCTGCTAAAAAGAACATTATTTTGTGTATTTGGTGTAATGAAATGTGTTTATGCGGTTTAAAGTTAAAAAAACACATTATTTTCCACATACTGTACATTATTGTTTCTCCTCTATGCCCCGCCTTTTTGAAACGCGTAGATTTTTACAAAGCTCATCGGTCTGAAAAAGCGAGGTGTGCTGTGATTGGCCAGCTATTCAGTGCGTTGTGATTGGCCGAATACCTCAAGCGTGAGACGGAAATGTTACGCCCCTCACCATACTGTCGATGCCGTGTCCGGCCGGAGCGACGAGACATAAACATTAAAACCCATTACAAACGAGGCATTTGTTGCATCCAGTGGGGACATAATTACTGATTATAATGACTTATACTGTCTTTTTACGCGTTGCGTTGCATTGCGCCGCGTAAACATAAAACCCTGTCTGCATTTGTGATCAGAGAAATGACAAACAACAAGTGCTAACGTTAATCCACACTGCCCAAAACTTGCGTTTGAATCATCAGTGGCAAATGATAAAAGAAAACGTACTTACGTGAGTCAGAACTGCCGGCATTTTAGTCTAACGTAACTCTCCCAGGATCAGTAAACAGTCCTCCATAAAATGTGCTGGCGATCCACAGCACTAAGTTGATGTATTCCCTCAGCGACCAGCACAGATCAGCTCTAGGCATGACGAAGCGGATATCGTCCTCTTTTGGAAGACCAAAGTAGCTTCGCTTTCACAACGAAGCACACAGCGTCTTCAGGACATGGCGGCAGCGGCAACAATACTACAGTGAGAATAAAAGTTACGCCTTCTTTCTTTGCGTGAACATTTGGGCGGTGTTATGCAAATCTTCCCACATAGTGAGGTAGATATGTGGGGGCGTGTTTGAACGAGCCATTTTAGGTAGGTGTGGCTAACTCTTAACTTTTATAAAGAATATCTCTTTGGATTTGAGACTTTAGTCTTTGCAACTTTACAGATCTTCTTTATGCACCAAGAGCTTGTAACACTCTAAAGAGAAAGGAAAAAATGAAATCGCGTCATATGACCCCTTTAAGTTTTATTCAGCAAGGATGCATTAAATTGATCAAAACTGCCAGTAAGGACTTTTACATTGTTACAAAAAAAAAAAAATTTCAAATAAATGCTGTTCTTTTGAAGTGTCTATCTAAATCTAAAAGGTATGGCATGTTTGCACAGGTAGGCTTGTGTAAACATACTATGTTCAGTTTAGTTGTATTTTCTACATTAGAAATTAAGCCAATAACTCTAAGTGTTTCACCTGTCAGGAATCCTCCACCAATGCGCACAGAGAATCGCCTTATTGTGGAGAATTTGTCGTCGAGAGTCAGCTGGCAGGTGAGTGTTCAACAATTTGCTGTCAGGTTTTGTTGAGTCAGTTATATTCCCAGTCATTGCAAATGACAAAAAATAAGGATTTCCTTCAAAGATGAATAGAATTATGAGAGTTATGTAGATAGATAGTTATGTTGATTTAGTAGCTTTTAATTACCCAACTAAATGTAAATCTGTGACAAAAAGTGTCATTCTGAGATTAATTTCAAATTCAAGGTCATATAAAAAATACTTGGTGCTAGAGAAGAGGAAATGGTAAAGTTAAGTCACTTTGCCTCTGTTTTAACCAATTGTTCACCCCTCTATTTGCCAGCCTGACTGTTGTGTCGTATGGAAGAGATCGCTAATGGTGGAGTTAACCCCTACAGGGCCCCTCTCTCTGCTTAAGCCACTCCCGTTGTGTCCCACGCCTAGTTGACCTCCGCCGATCGCCGCCGAGCGCATGAGAGCTCTCTGTGAGTGATGCCCTCTCGCTCTAGAGGCAGCAGCTGCCGCTACAAAGCGCAGTTTGTGACGGTGCCGAGCTGAAAGAGAGAGAGAGAGACAGAGAGTGAAAGAGAGAGAGGGGCAGAAAGAGAGCGAGAGAAAGAGAGAAACAGAGCCAATCTCTGGTATACGCAGTCAATCGAGGGGTTCGGTAATTTGAGAGGCTTCGATCGGTATACTCACCCACCCTGCTCTCTGGTGGTCCCGAGGATAAAATCTCCAGGTTATGGCCCCAGCCCGATGGGTACGTTCCCAGGTATTAGTCTATAATCTCTTCCTCGCTGTTTACGCTCAGTGCCCTTGAGGGGACGGCACAAATAGGGTACGATCGATGGAGGGAAGCCCTGTGCTCTACCACACTGTATACACTTGTGTTTTGGTAAGAATGCATCTGCCATGTAAATGTATTTTGCATTTTAACAAATGTGGGGCCCTTTTTTACGAGCTGCTCCACATATTTCCTCTGCTAGTCTTGTAGTACGGGGGTCTGGGAATGTTACAGCATTGCAAGCCAAAAGTACCCTTGATTATACGCAACTCCTTTTCGTTCCAGTGCTCGTTAATTTTGGCTGACGAGACAGAAGTCTTTGTGTTTAGAAGCCAGGGTTGGCCTCACAAAGCTTTGAATAGAGATTCCTAAGACCATGAAATGGGGCTGATTCACACGTGTTGTGATTCAAAGGTGTCAGCTTGGCCTCGCTTTTTGCAGTTCTTTTCTGTCTGATTACTAATCCAAAAAGTTACCCTACACAGACCCTATACTTTTTGTTGGTATCCGTGTGCTGAAATGTTCTTCAGCTTAATTTGAATGTTTGTATGGAGCATATTGAACATGGTCCAGGCTTGAGCATGAGCTGAGAGATTCTCGGACCCCAACTTTGATAGTTCAGTTACTGTGATACTTCATAAAACGTGTAAAAATGATTATCTGAGTTACTTAGCTAACTCAAAATGCTGGTGTACTGTGTGTAGGATTTGAAGGATTTCATGAGACAAGCTGGAGAGGTTACATTTGCAGATGCCCATCGGCCAAAGCTTAATGAGGGGTAAGCTGGCTATTTTCTTTCCTGTTACTCTCCCTGCAGAACTGTTTTAAAGCTGAATTGATACTGCTTTTTTTTTTTGCTGTTTTGTGTAATACTTTTATCTTTCTACAGTGTGGTTGAGTTTGCGTCTCATAGTGATCTAAAAAATGCCCTTGAGAAGTTGTCTGGGAAGGAGATCAATGGAAGGAAAATCAAACTTGTTGAGGCATCCAGGAAAAAGTGAGTTATTCTTGTTTTTAGCTGTCTGTTAAGGTTTAAAGTTTAAAATTTTTGTATGTACCGTTAATGACAAATGTAGTATATAAACTGTATAATATGTATAATGAAAAATATATATATAGGTTTATACTATACTGTTTAAAAGATTGGGGTCAGTATTTTTTATTTTTTTTCACCAAAACATTAAATTGCATTAAATTGATCAAACGTGACAGTAAACACATTTATAATGTTACAAAAAAAATCTACATATAAGTTATTTTCTTATGGACTTTCTAATAATGAAAAAAAAACTGAAGAAAATGTTTTCTCAAAAATATCAAGCAGCACAACTGTTTTTAACAATAATAATAAATGTTTCTTGGTCACCAAATCTGCATATTTGAATGATTTCTGACGGATCATGTGACTCTGAAGACTGGAGTAATGGTTGCTGAAAATTTAGTGTTACAATCACATATTAAATATTAAAATTAGGGCTGTGCAAAAAATCGAATGCGATTTTTCATGCGCATCTCGTCAGTAAAGCCGCTTCTGTGATTAGTAGTAAATCTCCAGCACGTGCTTTCAGATGGAGCGGCATTTACTACACAGAGCCGTAGTTCACTGACAAGCTACACAAAATCGCCGGCGATTCATTGCCAATCACAGGAGCGGCTTTACTGACGAGATGCGCATGAAAATCGCATTCGATTTTTTGCACAGCCCTAATTAAAATAGAAATGTTTAAATCATTTAATAGTTTATTGTAATAGTATTTCACAATACAGTTACAGTTTTACTATATTTATTTTTTTCAAAAACATTTTAAAAAATCATATCGACCCTTAACTTTTGAATGTAAATATTGACAGACAGATGATTGATTGATTGATTGATTGATTTTCTCTTGTCCTGTAGGTCCAGAACTCGGTCTCGTTCAAATAGCTCATCCCGTTCTCGTTCCAGAGGGCGCTCCACGTCACGTTCTCGTAGCCGCTCCCGTTCCCACAGCCCCAAATCACATAACCGCTCCAGAAGTCGGTCCCGTTCGGCCAGTGCTTCTCCTGTGCGGCCCAAAGAAGCCCCACGTGCTGAATCGGCGTCACCACCGACCCCAGCACAGCGCCCCCCACCGTCCCGTTCCCCGTCTGCTGACAGTCGTCATTAGCCGCCACTGCTCTGTATGCTGAGGGATGCGTCTGTAGTCAAGCACTGCAAGAGGCTGAAGTTAGCGATATTGTCCCATCTTTGACCAGTTTTGGTCCCGAAAGTGGAGGAACAGCCTCTCTCCAGCCTCTGTTGCTAGATTGAAGGTATTTGACAGGAGAGTCACTTAAATCAGGAATATACTACTATTTTGGGTGTTTTGTTAAAGTTCATATCGGAAATGGGTATTTTGTGGTTATTTTTATCACTATATACAGAGTGAGGTTTGATTGATGTTGAGAGAGTCTTTAATTGTTTAAATATAATCATGGACAAGCCAGTAAATGTGATTGTTTTCAGTAAGTTTGACTCTTTGTTTTGTGTTGAAAATATTAATTAGGGTTTTATGAATAAAACATAGTATGAATCGTGACTGACAACAAATGAGCTTTTATTGCTTCATGAAAGGCTGATGGTAACATGAATTTCAAGTGCAAAAACTGCCACACATGCACAAACACAAAATGAGGAGCGAGGATTTCATATCCAACAAATAAAGTAAAATTAAGTTTCTAATACTTTGTAGGTCTTTCAACATTTTACAAAACCGCCTGTGCTGTTTGGGCCAGCTAACTGTTTCTTTTTGTTACTTCATGAATATGTGTGTGAATCGTTTGTAATGTGGATGCTTGAATTATAATCAAAGCATTATCAGAGTTCCCTCCACGCTGCATGAAAAAATTAGATCTTATCATATACAAGCCTATTCATATGTATGCATTTAATTTCTCATTCTGGAGACATTTCTATGTTGCATTTGTTTGTATGAGTAAATTATGCTTTTTTGCAATGCATACATTTTCTTTTATTTAACAAAACAGGATGAGATTTTAATATGGCATAATTCTGATGTATCATGCTTTTTAGTATTCCGGTATTTTGAGTATGTAAAAATCAGACAATGTCAGGTTTTGTCTGGATATGTTTTGATGCATGTGTTACCTTTCTGTACCATGGTACAAATATTACACATGAAAATGTTTTTGAGCAATTATAAAGTTTGTGTAGCACTGTTCAAAATGAATAAATTACTGAAAAGCTGTTAGGAATGAGGTCGGCCATTTTCCAAAATAAAAATCACACAATCTGAAACGGTAATGACAATATTACAGTACATGCCTAAAACAAAAATGCATTACACATACATTGCTCATATAAGACAGTAATGGTTTCTTAATGCAGTGTCTAATTGTATGTGGTTGCACAACAGCATAAAAGTGCCATATTTTTTAACCTGAAAGTCTCCATTTTATAAAATTATTCAATGTGTTTCTAAGCCATAAGAACTCATTTAACGGGGAATACATTTTTCAAAATGTTTTCAAGTGTAAAAAAACAGTTAATACCTTTATTCAAACAATTAATTTGTACAGTAAAGTTAACTATTTTTATACTCTAAACTGACTATTCGGCATTATGCATATGTTTTTCAAGGAGGAACAACAAAATATGTAGTTTCCCCGTGGTCACAGCATCTGTGGTACTTTGGTCCCAAATTCCTTGAGTCCATTTTGAGCTTTAGAAGCACTATGGGGTCTGTGTTTCTAAGCCATAAGAACTCATTTAACAGGGAATACATTTTTCAAAATGTTTTCAAGTGTAAAAAAGTTAATACCTTTATTCAAACAATTAATTTGTACAGTAAAGTTAACTATTTTTATACTCTAAACTGACTATTCGGCATTATGCATATGTTTTTCAAGGAGGAACAACAAAATATGTAGTTTCCCCGTGGTCACAGCATCTGTGGTACTTTGGTCCCAAATTCCTTGAGTCCATTTTGAGCTTTATAAGCACTATGGGGTCCTCAGATAACACTGTTAGAGGGCCCATTAGTTTCTTCAGCTGCTCTTTCCACTGCTGTGTACTCTTTCGTTTCTGTGTAGAAAGAGATAATAGTTATTTTTAGAATTTAAAATACATATAATACAGTATTTAATTTTTTTAAAACAATACTTATTTAGGTTGTTAGGTGAGTATAATTTTACAAAATGAAAATTTGCTGAAATGTACTCATTCTCAGGCCTTTCAAGATTCAGAAAAAGTCAAAAAAATTAGCATTACATCACTTGCTCACCAATGGATCCTCTGCAGTGAATGGATGCCGTCAGAATGAGAGTTTAAACAGCTGATAAAAACATTACAATAATCCACAAGTAATCAATCCACACGACTCCAGGCTATCAATTAACATCTTGTGAAGTGAAATCTGTGTTCGTAATAAACAAATTTTACATTTTGAATTCAACTTGTTGCTTCCAGCTAAAATACAAGTCCTCTATCTACTGTGTATATTGCTTTCTCCCAAGAAATACGCACAGATCAACCACTGCTTACAAGTGAAAACAGCCCAAAAAAATATGTCAGTGAATTTTGATGTGAAAGGACAACATGGGATGGGGATTTTCACTTTACAAGACGTGAATTGATGGACTGGAGTCGTGTGGATTACTTGTGGAATATTTGTGATGTTTTTATCAGCTGTTTGGACTCTCATTCTCATTCACCGTAGAGGATCCATTAGTGAGCAAGTAATGTACTGCTAAATTTCTCCAAATCTTTTCCGATGAAGAAGAAAAAAAACTCATCTACATCTTGGATGGCCTGAGGGCAAGTACATTTTCAGCATTTCATAACAGTTTATAGAGTTCATGTACCTTGTTGGGATGGTCTCAGTCTCTGATGGCATCTGAACAGGAATATCAAAATAAGGGCCTCGACTATCTGGAACACAATGTAGATGACGGGGAAGAAATACAGCTGACCAATGAGCTCAGCAGGAAAGGCCACCTTCAGGATTGTGGTACACAGCTGGATGTTCTGACAGCCCACCTCCATAGAAACAGTCCGTCTGCAACTGAGGACCAAAGGACACAAGTGAACATGATGACGAAAAAACTGCACTTTGACTGAACAATAAATCAATTTGGTTGATTATCTTGTGAATGGATTTGCATCTCACTCATACACTACAATTCTATACGGTGGACATACGGTGCATTCATCCTGAACAGAGTGGACAGGATATATCCACATATGAATCCAGTCAATGGCATCAATGCAGCTGTGGCTATAAGTTGACGAGACAGCACTGTGAAAATTTTTCCTCCATCAGACATACCAGCAAGAACCCCAATGACAACACATGAGATCAGCAGGAGTGTTAACCCAACCTACAAGCCAACAGGAAAATAAATGCAGAACATGCTTATAATTGTTTATAATTTGTCTATCATGCTAATGGCATGTAGCCAGAGCATTTATATTTTACAATACAACAGTTTGCTTTGCGTGGTCGAGCAGCATTCCAGAGTGTTAAAAGAAACAAGTAGCGGTCTTTATGAATGTGTAATTGAATCATTTACTCAACTGATTCTTTAAAGACGCTGATTCATTCAGGAACTAAACACCACTACCGTGCAGGGGTGCGTTTCCCAGAAGCAACTATGGTCGCAAGTTCCGTCATTACCAATCGAGTGCAATGGAACTTGCGACCATAGTTATCTAACGATGCTTTTGGGAAATGCACCCCTGGTCTGAGTCACACAACGGTTTTGTTTTGGCTTTGCTTAAAAAATAGAAACAAACAGAGAAACTGAAATTGTGTCTAATTACATCTACGTTAGAGCTCACTTTTACCTCTGTTCAGCAGATTTCGCAACAGGTTCGATTTGGTCACGCAGATTCGCCCTGTTAACCAACAGAAACCTGCTTGGTTTGAAAGTGACTTCCGTGCAAGCTGTGATTCATACATCACTACACTATGATGGGTACGTGGCCACGTTAACAAGATTTCACAGGCAAAATTTTGCGGGTCTAGTGTCCATGGAGTTGCGGTGTATGGTGTACAGCTCACACAAAACTCATTTTCAAACCAAGCAGCTTACTGTTAACTAGTACAAGAGCGAAATTTGCATGGGGAACTTGTTTGCCTGGATGACTGGATTTGCCTGCGGGATTTTGCAGAGTAATCGTAAATGTTACCTCACCTTTACTCTGCTAAAGTCATTATTGAACTGTTGAATAAAAGCAGTATCATACTCCATACATGAATTAACACACACCTTGGTGATGATCTTAGAATACTGGGGCACTCGGTAGTTGATCAAGATCCCAATACCGCAGGGCACCAGGATCATAATCAGGGCAAAAGTGATGTAAGTGAAAGGAACAAATTGTGCCAGGTTTGAGAAACCCTGGCTGTACAGATAGAGCAGGAGTGGCATCATACCCAATCCCAGTGCCGTGGAACAAGTAGTCATCACAATACTGAGAGAAAAAAAATAGATACAATTTAAAATAATGAGATACTTTGTGCAACCATATTGTCATTGGTGCCCTGTGTTAGAGAAATGCAGATAAAGCACTAGACAAACTTGAATAGATATTTAACTCATGTATTGCATCGGGTGGTTCTTGGCCTCCATGTTGTGCATTAAAATCGTTTAATGCAGCCGTGAATTATCCCGCTTATACCCATAAATATGTATAGGTAGATGCCTCCTTCAACAGCTCTAGGCACGTAGACACGTCCTCCATCTTGCAACAGTCAGCTTGACGTCATTCACCATAATAAACAATGAATATTCGAAGATGCCACAATCCTGCACAGCCGATGGTTGTAAAAACCGCCGGGATTTAAATTCCCGAAGAAACGGGATAACATTTCACAGATGAGAATGCGAAAGTCCGGCGGAAACATAGATATGTAAGGATTGTGACATCTTCGAATATTCATTGATAAAATTATGGTGAATGACGGCAAGTTGACCCTTCCAATATGGCGGGCGGCTTACGTATAGTGGCCCATAGAAACAGTTGCTAATGAGGCATCTACATATACATATACCATGGTCATTTGTCAAGTTAAAGTTGTTAATGATGTATGCAGCCCAATATTTGACCGGAAGGGTAAAAATGACGGTTATTTTCGAATGAATTATAGCATTTATTTGAATTAGTTATCGATCAATCGAGAGAGATGACAGCTGTTTGTGTGTTACCTGTGTCCAGGGACGGCGTAACGGGGGGGAAGGTTAGGATGGTTCCAAGGGCCCAATGAGGGAGAGGGGGCCCGGAACTCGATTTTTACCCAGGGGGCTGTCAACAAGTTTCTGTGCTCCTGAATGTTTCTGTATGTGCGCAGAAAACTCTCTCTGTGTGTGCGTGTGTGTGCATCAATTACAGCATCGCATTAATATAGAATGGGGATTAAACTGACTTGGAACTACCTGTGCATTAAATGGTTTTAATGCATACCTCCCAGCCAATCAGAATCGAGTATTCAGACAGACCATGGTATAAATTATATTAATGCACACAAGTACTCAAATTACTGAATTGATTCATTGTTCACGTTTGAACAAAGATATTCCGATATAACCGATTCACTAGAATAAATCTAGTATTTATATCAGTCGTATTAAAGTTGCCATTATTACCATATAACATCGTTACATAGGCCTATATATTATTCATAGATTATTCATATAGCATGGATAAAGGGCCATTGCTTTCATTTTTCTTTTCTCAAAAAGCAATTGAATAAGTGTTAACTATAGAATAAATAATGAAATCAACTGCAATCATTTTTTGAGAGTTTAAAAAAAATACTGTAGGTTATAGTTTTAACAAATCCAACTCAAATTCCAAGCACCACAGGGAACCCGCTATAAGGTATGCAAACATCTTATGCAAACATCTGGGCTAAAAAACACCTGTTTTGCTGATCTTTCATGATCTGTAATGGACCCTTTTCACATTTCCGGGTTTCTCAGCAGCAGAAGCCGTCATAGTAGGGGAAACTTCTATAGCAGTGAATGGTAGACTACCACAAATATATTTTTTACATTCTCATTTGCTCAAATAGCAAAAGAAAAACTCCATGATAGTGTTTTCATGACTTTCCAAAAAAAAGGAAAAAAAGAGAGACTGATAACGGCAGTCAGTAGAGAGAACGATGTCAAATTTACAGTCAGTCCCATAGATGCTGTATTAGAAACACCCTCGCATTAACGTTAACTAGATTTTTTGTAATTTGATGCAAAGGTAGGCCTAATATAATACAAAGTAGGCCTATAGTGTTATAAATGTACTTTTTTTTTTTTTTTTTAAATGAAGATACAAAAAACTTTGGAGGATTTACAATGCTGATTGAAATGCGTCATCACAGTATTGTGAAAAGGGTCCATTGTCCCAGCTATTCAAATGATTTAAAGGAAATCCATAGATTGCTAAAAGTTCTTGCATTGTTTGCAACAAATAATCTCAGTGAGGTGAAGCTCATCATTTTCTCCATTAGTCTCGCATTAACGTTAACTAGATTTTTTGTAATTTGATGCAAAGGTAGGCCTAATATAATACAAAGTAGGCCTATAGTGTTATAAATGTACTTTTTTTTTTTTTTTTTTAAATGAAGATACAAAAAACTTTGGAGGATTTACAATGCTGATTGAAATGCGTCATCACAGTATTGTGAAAAGGGTCCATTGTCCCAGCTATTCAAATGATTTAAAGGAAATCCATAGATTGCTAAAAGTTCTTGCATTGTTTGCAACAAATAATCTCAGTGAGGTGAAGCTCATCATTTTCTCCATTAGTCTACTATTGGACAGTATTAATTGTCTGAAGAATTACCTGAGGTTCATGTCTCCCTGGAGAGCCAGAGCAAAGATGTTGGAGAGGTTTCCTCCCGGACAGCACCCACAAATTAACACAGATATGCTCTCCATAGGACCCAACTGAAACAGCTTTGCAAAGCAGAAGGCTGTGAGGGGCATTATACCATATTGAGCCCCAGCTGCAATCGCCACCCCTTTGGGTTTGATGAGATAATTCTTGATTTTTGAGATTTCCAATGTGCATCCAAGAGACACCATGGTGATAAAAAGAATAACAATTAACACCAAGCGGATAACCTGGTCTGCATTGTCACTGAATGCAGAGTCATTTGAGGTGGTGTTGTTTATATTCCCGTCAAAGCTTGAAAAGTTGGATTCGATGGTTGAATTTGCAGTGACCACCATTTTTGAAATGTTTTCATAAACTGTGAGATAGAAGTGAGAGACAGTTAAAGTGTCAAAAAAGTTTATGTAATCCAAGAAATAACAACAAATGCTTAAGTTGTTTTAAGTATATTTGTATCTGTAGAAAAATAAATCTCAAGCCTACCTTTGATTCACGCAGTGCTTCGGTGACTGTGTGGAATCTTCTCAGAAAGCCAGAGTGAACCAGTGAGAGAAAAATAGTGGTTTCCTATCTGTCCTCTAATCTGGTACAGTTTTTTTTTTGTTCATTAACCCTTTAAGGGCTAAGCTATTTATAACTTTATTTTAAATCACATTTACATTTAATATCACGGTGTAGTCATTTCTGAATATAGACATTTGTACACACCTCAAAACAATGTACACTAGTAGGAACATAACAGCATATTATATAGAGTTTTGTTTCTTCACACAGTTGTTACAAACAAAACTGAAGAAAATTGAAAATTTTCTCATTTGCAACGTCCAATTTTTAACACAAATATGCTTTTTTGGCCTTTTTTCATACATGTCTGCTTTCACTTTTTTTTTCCTACGCTAAGAAATTAGTCATAATAATTTCGACTAATTTTTTATGTATTTTCGTAAGTATCACAACCATTGGAAAAAGTTCAGCAACAGGTTATGCAGATTGATAATTTCCTTGATAAGTTACCAAATAGAAATGAACAAGTTATGGTGTTCATTGCCAAGTTTCAGAGCTGAAATTAGTGCAAGGCTGTGATTCTCATGTTCTTTGCAACCCACTGTAGGTAACCACATCCTACACAACGCAGCACTCACGAAATGCCAATGGAAGACTCTTGTTTTCAAAAATACAATAACATATCTAGACATTTCCAATAATTCCAGTTAGTCAGCATCTAACAACTAAACAACTCATGTTTTTATGTAAGTTTGCTCTTTCTGGACAAAAGGCTAGGCTATCTCAGCATGATATCAGTGTTGCTACTATAAAAAACATTATGTTCAAAACAACCCAATATGGGTTGTTTTTAACCCGAGGGCTGGGTAAATATGGAACAGAACACATGTTGGGTTAATTTTACCCAGCAAATTGGGTTGATTTAACCCAGCATATGGGTTGATTCATTTTTACTATATTAGCCTACTTGCTTATTTTTTTTCTTCATACATGAATTAATGTTTACAGATTTACTTGAATCATCTAAACCTTTGTAAAATACTCCACACAACCACTGGTTTGCATTATAACTTCCTTCATATCATATTTCCAGTATAGCATATTTTATATAATTTTTAATATGTAGACCATACATATTGCCTATATTTAAACTTGTTTAGTAAACATTAGAAGTAAAAATTAAACATTTAGAAGTAATTCACGTGTAATCGATCAGTCTCTGTTAGCCTATTTCCAAAGAAACGCCGCTGGTTCTCGTGCCCGAGCTGGAATCGTGTTCGGTGGGGAACTGCTAACTTCAGACCGCCACCCTGCATTTCACTCATATGCTGTGACTGACTCCATAACCTGCCCATAAACAAACAGTAAACATCTCCTGAAGAGGATGCAAATATGCCGTTACGAAACTACCCAAACACTGAAAAAATGACCAAAAAGGCTCAACCCAGCATTTGGGTTGAAAAAATAACCCAGGATTTTTTAGATCGAGGTGTTTGCTCTACTATTTGAGCTATAAATTATTAGAGCCATGAGAGTTTTGAATTTTTAACACGTACATTATGCAAGACAAATAAGTTGTTACATTGTATTTCCGATCAGTAATAAAAAATATTCTATTCTGTTCTATTCAACACTACTAATGAATCAAGTAAAAAATACATTATTATCAGTAGCAGTGCCACTAATGAATCAAAATCAGTTAGATACATTTTTTTATGTATTATATTATATATTATATTACACAGCACTAGTAATTAAGCAATTATCAACAGTACTACTAATGAATCAAGATCAGTTAAATATTTTAATGCATTACTACACTATATTATTTTAAATAACACTACTAACAAATTAATTTTAGTCAAATGTTTTTTAAACAACTGAACATAATCTTAATCTGAATAGATTGCTCTCATAAAGAATAATTACATTGCCATCTAGTGTTGAATATTAAATACATCGTACATTATGCAAGACAAATAAGTTGTTACATTGTATTTCCGATCAGTAATAAAAAATATTCTATTCTGTTCTATTCAACACTACTAATGAATCAAGTAAAATATACATTATTATCAGTAGCAGTGCCACTAATGAATCAAAATCAGTTAGATACATTTTTTAATGTATTATATTATATATTATATTACACAGCACTAGTAATTAAGCAATTATCAACAGTACTACTAATGAATCAAGATCAGTTAAATATTTTAATGCATTACTACACTATATTATTTTAAATAACACTACTAACAAATTTGGATTAGTCAAATGTTTTTTAAACAACTGAACATAATCTTAATCTGAATAGATTGCTCTCATAAAGAATAATTACATTGCCATCTAGTGTTGAATATTAAATACATTATAAACATTATATGTGTTTGAAACAGAAAATTATCTGAAAAGTGCAACTATTGTTAATGGTCCAACAAAATTGAATGACTAACATTATCCATGTTATCATTTTTTTTAATAATTGCAAGCTTTTATCTAACATAATGGTACTTATTACATTGTGCACTGTTATGACAGTACACATATTTTTGTATTTGACTGATATAACGTGTGAATTTATATACATACACCGGCATTGCATTTCTCAGAAAGGGAACAGGGTGGGAGATTTTAATCCTGCAGTGAAGCAGAGCCCCCCTGAGGAGTTATGGGGGAAGGGTGCTGGTGGGTCACGCAGATTGTCTCAGCTCATAGTTGCAAGCTGCCACATAGACAACACTGCTTTTTGGGCGGTCACTCTTCATCCCGGCTTCTGTCTCCTGTAGTCTGTTTCCTTCTCCACAGCCAGTACTAGAAATCAGACATTTGGGAGTGCAAAAATGTATCTTTTTTTTTCATTCTGACTATCTTATTTAAAGGGTCCTTTTTGTTCGGGTATAGGGTGAATTAAAGGGTGAGTGACAGTATTTTTGTGTTTGCACGAGTCCCCCTATTTGGTACTCTGACCTTGTGGGGGAGTGAACACAAATATGTGCTTGTTTTTACCCTTTTACTGATCCAGCAGCTCATATAATCCGCTGTTTAAGCTCCTTATCTGTAGCACTATTTTGTGGAGAGAGGGGAAAAAACACTATCTCTCTTGCTTTTAGGAAGTTTGACAGTTGAGTTTTATTGACTGTTGATTTATAGAAATTTTAAATCATATCACCAAAAGATATATAAAAGTTCTTTGGTCTCATGAAATATTAAAATATGCCATTTGATTTACCTATACCTACCATACATAGGTATTTTACATGTATGTGATAAGATTTGTGGTCTTTTTGGTCATTAAACAAAGTGTATTTTTTATTGGCAACAAATGCATTTTTATAGTATGTCAGACTATGGACAACATTATTTAGACATTTCCCTTATAATTTCAAAGTTAAAAACTATTTAACTTTTTAATTAAATAGACAATCACAGCCCTAACAGCAAAAACAATGTTGTTGTTACTTTCAGAGATTTTGTAAAGAATTGTCAGCGCATTTTTCATTGACCTCTGGACACGTAGTTGATATTTGCTCTTTTTTAATCTGCTAATTTATTTTCTGAACCTCATGATTAGTTAAAGAAATGACAAATAGTGTTTTTACAACTTGCTTTGTTTATGTAAAATATATTAATAAAGAAATCAAAGCTACTATTTCAGAATGGTAACTGAATAGATGTGTAGGAATTAAGTTTTTTAGATTATTGTTGTTGTTTTAAACTGTAACCCCTATTCATCTATTCTATATAATAGTATATACATCTGTGGTTTGTATTGTTATTGATCTAATAAAAATAATAAAATAATAATATTAACAATGCTTTAAATATTTAACGTGTAGTATTACTCACAAATATTTGTAGTATTAGTAATCACCATATTAGTCACAAACAGCACTGAGCACTTTCCACGTGTCTTGCTTGTAACACGACAAAAAATAAACTACAATTACCATGAAGCATTCTCATTAAAAGAGCTTTCCTTCGACTTGAAGTAGAGACGCATCTCAGAACTGCTGACTGGGTGTTGTAGTTGTACACAATAGATTCGCTGTTACATCGCCCAACCTTTTAGTTCTAAAAAACAACAAATCCCATAATACCTTGCGCTGTAATCAATGTAAATGTCCGTGTGTAGGCAAGTCACGTGTGGAGAGTCCGTTGATCTCGTTTCGTGTAAGCAGTGTATCTCTCCTGTTTGTTCATTTGATTTGGGCCCCATTTCATGTTGTTTTCAAAACAACATTTCGTGTAGATCTATCTATCTTCGCCGAAGAATGAGCGACAACGATGATATCGAGGTCGACAGTGATGTAAGTATAGTTATTATTGTTTGTAAGTTACTCTGCATGTATGAGAACGAAACCTCTTGTGTTTTCGATACTTGAGCCTCAATATGAGGCTAGCCTGTTAGCCATCCTAGCGTTTGAAATCATTTTCCAGCCAGTTAAATGAGAATATCAAGCCAGATGAGCAATTAAACACGGGGGTCGAGTTTATGCTTGTCTCCATATATTTACATTAGCGATTCTATGTACTAAGACAGTGCATTGCATCCATCAATAGCCAGTTAACGTTAAGTATCTCTCTTACAGCTGTAGCTACAATTGTACTTTTCTGTTCTGTTTTCTTACAGGAAGAATCACCGAGATTTCACTCTGTGGTGCGTAATAAGCGGAGCAATTAACCCAGTTTAGCGTTTAATGCCGAAAATTGCTTCTCTTTTTGAGATTAGCTACAATTTATTTCCGGGTAACGTTAGGTACTGAACGGCCGTAACTAATTTGCATCAGTGGACGACAAAACAAGATAGAATCAAGCCTAAAAAGGGGTAGATGTGGTGGATTGAATGAGCACGAGCAGAGGAGCACACAGTCTGCTTGTTTTGAGTCTGTTCAGGGAGCTCAGTGCTCGACAGCAGGGCACTTGCTGCAGGAGGGAGGGAGGGACGCGAGCGCTGGGCTTATAGCGAGCCGCATCTACACTGCGAGTGCGCGACGCTAGCAGTGTATATTGCGCATTAGTTGAACGATGTGAATACGTCAACAGGGTGAGCCCTTGTAATGTATGCATTTCACCCAAATGAGATCTTGTTTTTGTTAGATTAGACTGTGTATGAATAAATAAGCAACATTAAATATGAATCCTCGACCTATGGAACATCCTCCTTTTCAATTTTCAGTCATTTTTGTTTCGCATTACCAAAGCATTATTATTATTACCAAAACAGTGATAGAAAAGAGGAAAAAAATATAATAAAATTAACATACACACACACACACACACACACATATATATATATATATATATATATACACAGGGTGCAAACAAACCAGAGGGGGGATGTTTATAAAAATAAGTTTTTTTTTTTTTCCCCTTAAAAATATATATCAAACCACAGTGGAGCTATAAATATATAGATTATTATTTGCAGCTGTTACAGAAACATTTTTACAATAAGTACTCTGATTTGACCTTGAGATTAGCTTCGATATTTGACCGCTATTTATGATAATACTTGGTTACAATGACACTAATAGTTCTTATTTCTGCCAGGAATGCAAAATCAATCGGGAGTTAATGATATTTTGAATAGAATAACGAGAGACAAACCTGTGCATATTCAATCGTGTTTGCTTCCATTTGATCAGTGCTTCACTGCACAACATACAAACTTTTACGCCAAAAGTGTGCACATTATGTATTCACACGTTTACCTCATATTTCTTTAAATGGAATAGAACCATCATTTCTTAATGACTCTCTGCCGATCCCTCAGGCAATATTGCGTGATCATAATTCCCACATTGCGGTAATGGTAAACTTCTGCGTTCTGTCTCATAATACATTTATGCGTCAGTTTATTATATACAATATTTGCATTAGGTCACAGTAGAGTAAATTTTGAGCAAAACGTTGTGTATTAATCTCATACTGTCACTCTGAAATAGACTAATGTCGCGCGCTGACCTTCTGAAAAGCCCTGCACGGATTAAGGCACGTGAACCAGGATCACGAAACCCAGACCCAGTATTTTTTTTATACTGTATATATATATATATATATATATATATATATGCACACACACATACATACATACATATGTAGAATGTATATGAACTAATTGGGAACATTATTACATGTAAATATTAAAGGTATTGTTATCTCCAAAATAAATTCTGTCATTATTTATTTACAATCATGTTGTTCCAAATCTGTATGATTTTTTTTTCTTCTGTGAAATGCAAAAAATGAGAAAAGATGCAATGAAGATGAAGATCTATCAGTCCCTAATATTCTGTATTAAATGTTCTATATTCTGTATTAAAGTCATACAGATTTGAAACAACATGAAGGTTTTGATGATGCAATTTACATTTTTTTTTGTGAACTATCACTTTAAATTAACTAAAATTTCCAGTCTGGGCAGTGAGGTTCTAAGGCAGTTGATTTCTCAGGCTTTCACACCTTACATTTCTATGCATTTGTGATTGTCCTTTTATTAAAGCACAATGCTTTTGTTTTTACCATTATACATCATAATAACCCAGAGGCCTGAACAAGTGCGTGAACCTGCTGCTTAACGAGTATTGCTAACAAACATGAATCTTTAAAGAAAAATGTAGTGTAGAAGTGCAGTGGTGGCATAGAGTAGTTTATCCCCTAAATCAATTTAAAACTACATGGCTGAGTGCTTCATTTAAATTATGTGACCAAGTTAACATTTAAATGTCTCTCAGAAACGGTATAAAATAATAAATTGGATTACAATGTGAACTTGGGCATTTTCAAAAACTAAAAAAGCCTGATCATCTCCTAATGTCACTTTGAAATTAATACAGTATAGCTTTCCGTGCATTTGGAAATTTCTTGGGATTTTGTGGAGATGGGACCACAGTCTGTTAAACCAGTGAACTGTTTGCTCAGCTTGTACTTGGGCTGCTCTGTTTAACTAGAAAATGGGCTTGAGACTAGATAATTGACTTTAACTGTACAATAGTGTTATTTTTTGACTTCCCAACCTGTTTTGATGTTAAAGGGATAGACGTAACTGTCGTCATTTACTCACATTCATGTCGTTCCAAACCTGCATGGCTTTCAAACAAAAAGAAGATATTCTGAAGAATGTTTCAACTGCTTTTATCCATACGATGGAAGTTAATGCAGTCCAAAATGACATTGGTCCTCACTGACTTTCATTGAATGAATAAAAAAAAAAAAACATGTTTTGTGTTCCACACTTGAAAGTCATACAGATTTGGAATGACATGAGGGTCAGTAAATGATGTCAAAAGCTTTATTTTTTTAGTGAGCTATCACTTTAAGTAGTGACTGGTCAGTGTGAAAGGTGTGTCAATGGAGTTCATAGCAAGATGTTTAAAATAGCACTCATCACAAAAAGCAGGCTTGTTTTTACTAGCCTTGAGTTTTCATTGGGTAGACTGGAGACACGATGTCTGCAGTGTCCCCAAAGTCCTGCTATCTCCCACTTCTTTTTGTGCTGGGAGGAAATAGTTTTTCTTATCAGGATGTTGAGATCATAGGACAACAGGAAGGCATGTTGTAGACAATATTCCAAGAAAGCTTTTCTCTACAATTGTACTTATCATTTTGCTTTCTTTTATGTAAGTTACAGCCCTTTATACCTTTAATTTAGTGGAGACATTGTTCTTTTTATGATAGAATTGTGGAGAAACCACATGCATAGTTTTCACTATACTTGAGTGCAGAATAGCCCTTGTCATGTTGAGCACTTGGCCACTTCACGTGCATGTAATTAAATCCTGACATTGGCAGTGTACAGCGTACCCTTCTAGACATTAGGCAGACAGACTGTATCTGCCAGTAACACTATGGCCACACGTAGCTCTTCCAGGTGCAGCATAGACCCTGGAATGTCTTTGTGCTGCCCGGTGGCACTTCAACATTCGGATAACTGCTTTCGTTTTGCTTCTTTTTCCAAGGAATGCAAAAAGGGCACTTGTTAATGAGTCGCTGGATTCGAAACAGGTTTTACAGCTGTGCTTTTATGTAATAACAGTGTCTTGGCCAAGCCCAGTGACATTGGACTCCAGTGGCCGTGTTGTTTGAGGGATAGTACAATTGCAGTCTTTGTCCTATAAAAGCAGATAAGTCAATAAATTAGTATGTCTTAAATTAACTAAAGGAAATTCTAAAAAAATTAGCAACAAACAAACATAGTCCACGAGAATAAGCTGCAAAAAAAAAAAAAAACATATGCACCTTCTCTATTACAAGTCAAATTTTTTTAGATTGTCATGATCACTTAGTTTTTGTTGAGATTTAAAGGTCTGTATTACTACATGGTTTGCTAGTTAAACTGTAAGTGTTTTCTTATAACTCGCACTATTAGCCAATGGCACCATGACCAGCGAAGAGGCTGAAGCCGCTGTGATTCTCTCATTGCAGGCAGACAAACGGGCACATCACAATGCGCTGGAGCGCAAACGTAGGGACCACATCAAAGACAGCTTTCACAGCCTTCGGGATTCCGTTCCCGCCTTGCAAGGGGAAAAGGTTGGTGAATGTCACGTAAAACCATGCAGAACACAAGTAGACATAAAGGATGTTTGTTTTGTGTGCTTTTTGTTAATGAAATCTCAGCTGTTACACTGAATGTGATGACTTTAAATGTTATCATGAGATGATTGGCATGGGATTTCCATGTCGAGGTGTGAATGAAAAGCGTAATGAGAATTGGGAGCAGAGTGGGTCCAGACTGACTGATGTGATCCAAGTATAGGCGTGGTGCCAGGAAGCCTTCTCCTTCCTCTTGTGTTTCATATCTGAAATAGAATGTTCAAGAATGTAGTAGAAATCATTTTTGACCTTTATGATAGAACTATATTTCTAGTCACATGACTGGGGATGCACAATATGGTGGTACCATATTGGTTATTGGCTGATGTATGTTTTATTATTTATTGGTAACGCTTAATATTGGATATTTATTTTTGCTCTGTTTTTACATTTATAGTAAGTTAGTGTTAGATGACGGCAAAGGTAAATAAATAATTTAATCTCTCTGTTAAATGTAGCATTTAGCTAATCTCAAAATGAATGTTTTTCACACTACATTATAATGTTGTGATGCCTAAATACATTTGTAGCATTTAAAACAATTGATTATAGTTAAATGTTTTATTTTTAATTAATTTGGGTTAAATAGTATAGAAATTTAATATCAGACATTTATTGGTTATTAGTCATAACAAAATAATTAATGCTTCCCTAATCATTTTACTATTTCTCTAGTGAATTTATGGCTTGTTGTCACCATCTAACGCTCACTTAGTAATCTTTGAAAGCATGATTAATAGACATATTGAGTTTTCAGCCAGTTATTGGTCATAACATGAACATTTTTGGCTTATATCAGTATCGACCAGAATTATCCAAATGTGTAGCTTTTTAAGTAGGCGGTTTTTAAAGGGGTGGTTGATTATGATTTCTCTTTTTGAACTTTAGTTTGTGTGTAATGTTGCTGTTAGAGCATAAACAATGTCTGCAAAGTTACGACGCTCAGAGTTCAATGCAAAGAGAGAGATTTTCTTTCAAAGAAATCTGTTTAAGGACTACAAAAAACGGCTAGTAGGGACTACAACGAGCTTCTTCCTGGATTTGTGACACCACTAACCCTGATGTTTACATAAACCCCGCCCCCGGGAACACGCAACTACCTGTAATGGTAAGGGGGCGTGACGTTTCCGCACAACATGCACTAGGTGGTTAGCGAATCACAAAGACACAGAGCCCGTTAACCAATCAGAGCCCATTGCGTATTTCTGAGTGAGGGGCTTCATAGAACCAGGAACTCAACAGACCGTTTTGACAAGAATGGAAACAGCGGTGTAGAATAAAGGTAAAATATGTGAAAATAATGTGTTTTTTTTTTTTTAAACGAAGCATGAACACATTACACTGCACACCATAAACAATCAAGCTTTCAAAAAAAGCTGATCAACCACCCCTTTAAGCTATTTGTGTTCTTATTTGGGTTGTTTGAATTGGTTTGGGGTTCATATGTGTGCAATGTAACTACATTCCTTGCGTCAAATTCTAGTTTTTAATTTGTTGCTGACAGCAATCTATCAAACAGGCATCCCGAGCGCAAATCCTAGACAAAGCCACAGAGTACATCCAGTACATGCGACGGAAAAACCACACACACCAGCAGGACATCGACGACCTGAAGAGACAGAACGCTCTGCTGGAGCAACAAGGTGGGTGACGCTACGTTACTCCTCACTTTTGTCGTCTGGTCATGCCGATCTGTGCCAGTAGGTTTCTGTGCAGAAGTCTAATTTGGCTGTTGTAGTGCATCATCATACAACATATGATTTTAGGCAAAAAATGAAGAATGTGTCATCCTGTTTTTAATTTCCAGTACGGGCACTGGAGAAAGTCAAGGGGACCACGCAGCTGCAGGCCAACTACTCCTCTTCAGACAGCAGCCTGTACACCAACCCCAAGGGCAGCGCTGTATCGGCCTTCGACGGTGGTTCCGACTCGAGCTCGGAGTCTGAGCCGGAGGAACAGCGTTCCCGGAAGAAGCATCGCGGGGAGGACAGCTAAACAGCGGATCCTCAGCCTGCTCCACAAAGTTCTCCTCCAAGGGGAGGGAGAGTCACAGCAATGGCCTGTTTCTTGTTGTATTTTGTGTACCTCAATCGCCCCAAACCATTTTGATCAATCTTTCAGTGAATGTCAACCCTCGATTCCACACCTGAAGAAACCTCCGCCAGGTTTACAAGAGAGACTGTTACGGGAAGAACACTCACGGAAAACAACTTGTTTTTACTCTCCCTCCCTCTCCGACTCTGTTCGTCCATCTTGTGTCCTGGCACACGCAACAACAAACGATGATTTAAACCCAAAATGAGGCAGCTTTGCAACTTAAGGACTTGATGCTAATTATGTTTTTTTTTTGTACCCTTGTCTGCAATCCCTCCAGATGGAAATCCAAAGGGGTGAATGAGGCGTACAGCTCCTAGCACTGCTAAAATATATATATATATATATATATTGAATATCTTAAAGCCTGCTTAGAACTTACCCTTAGCTGAATTGTCCCGAGTGGTTTGCCTTTCTAAATATGTTACTTTTCCATAAAGGAATGTTTTTGAAGCATCTGTCAATGTACCCCTTGTTAGACCTATGGGATGAGTGACGCATTTTGATGTTATTGATAAAATCCCTTATTTAAAAAAAAAAAAAAATGCTTTATGGGAAGGCTGCTGAGCTTGTGTTGTATTTGTTGTTTTAGCCTGATGTAAAGTTTACAGGTTGGGGGAAAAAAGAGATTTTGTTTCTTTAAAAAAAAAAAAGGGGGGGTTAAAGTAAAAAGCGATAAAACGTATATTTTGCATCTGTCACCTGAGCCTCCCAAACTTGTTTTTCATGTATTTCACTCCATATTGGGAATATACATGTTGCAAATGATGTTCCTCCCCACAAAGCTAGTCAATATTGAAAGAGTAGATTCATGTCGTGACTTTTAAAGGTAAATGTTCTAAATGTTCATCGGAAACTGCTGCACACTGCAAAAGTTGCATTTTGAGTGTCTAGGAGACATGAGTGTGTGTGCGCGCGTGTATCTTTTACCATATTTTCCACTTAGTACATTAGTAAACTGAGTAGGTCTGATTCCATTCCATGGAAATTACAGGTATGTTGTACATACTGCCAACAGTTGTCTTGCAAGTTGAGGCCTACCTTTACAATGAGAATATAAATAAAACTATTTTATCCTTTACATATGCTGCGTGGTTCCTTTGGTTCTCTATATATTTTTTACTCCAATGTCCCAGTTGTCCACAACAAAAAGTCACTGTAACTTTAAGATGTTTGTGATTTAATGGTTAAGGATTGAGGAAAGGGTTTTTAAAAATATATTTTACTTCCTATTTTTACCAGATAAAATATTTTTGAGCTTGGCATAACTATAATAATGCATATTCATAAAATGTAAATTAATATAATGAAATCTCCATTTTTATACATGACCTTTTTCAGGTCTAAAAATCATACTTTCAAAAATTATATATCAGACAGTGGGAACCCTGGCTCTTCAGAAGAAGAAAAAAAGTTGGGGGGGTGAATAAAAATTATTTTAGCTTATTTTAATGCTTTTGTCTTATTTTAAGTCATCGCAAAGGAAAAAAATATGGTTGCTGTTTTATACTACACTATTTTATGACTTATTTTATTTGATCATTTACTCACTCATGTCTTCAAACCTGTATGACTTTGCTAGATTTTTTTAAATAAGCTTAGATGCGAAACTCAAAAACTGAAAACAAAAGCACCATAAAATTGTTCTGTATTATATTATGTGTGCTTTAATCCAAGTCTTCTAAACCATATGTGTGAAGCTTCGTGTGAGCAACAAGTAAAAAATCCATTGAATTAATTCCCCTCCATCGTAGTTCTCAAATGTCATTCATACTTACGCACATTCATACATACACATCAGGAGATGCACTCAAACTATTTGAATAAACTTGGGTGAGGACAAATTTTATGGATTAACAATGTTGATTTTTGCTATTTTTGTTCTGAAAACTGAAGTGTCCACATTTATCCAAGCTTCTCCTTTTGTGTTCCACTAAAGAAATAAAGTCATACAGGTTTGGAAAGACATGAGAGTGAGTAAATAATGACAGAACTTTCATTTTTGGATGAACTGTTCCTTTAATGTGCTCTGATAAAATGCCATTCTGTTTTGATACGTCATACCAGCACATTAAGATTAAAGCTTGATGACTGAATTATTGAATACAGTTTAAAAAGCTCATTAAACAGCACAGATTATATTTTTAAATTGCACCCAAAGATTACAAAATGTAAACACTGTACTCATGGCTGAGTAGCCAAACTATATTTACATATTCGGCAGTTACCATATTCGTTTCAATCGTACCGTCAAACAGCACGCATTAATTAGAGATGACAGAAATTAAAGTCAAATGATGGACTGCCTACAGTGAGTATAGATCATCCATAATACACCAACCAGAAAACTTCCATCCAAGTCTTTATTTCTGTCCAGAACCTACTGCCACGTGCACTCTGGGAAACATTTACCAAAGCCCAAAATAAGCTGGTATGTGCAATAAAATATCAATCAACAACTGGTGCATGAAAAACACCTCGCCTAGTCAGTCTCTACTGTTTTCCCTGGCTAAAACCCATAACCCCATGCTGAAGCTGTAGTAGATCAGACCCTCAGAGTGTTTCCCCATCTGTAGATGCTGTACAGACCAGCAAAGGACGTTTGGCTACAGCATTTACAGAAGATGCCTCTGCCTTAGGTCAAGCTAGCTCAAACCCTCAAAATATGTTTCTAATAGAAAAAGGAAAAGTCTATGACTGGTCCATTGCACTTGGTGTAGGTCCCGTCTGAACTGGAACAGGTAACTGATGGAAATGTTCAATCGCTTGGGCGACCTTCTCTGGGCAGATGTTGTAAACTGGATGAGTTGGTGGTGCACTCTGGGAAACATTTACCAAAGCCCAAAATAAGCTGGTATGTGCAATAAAATATCAATCAACAACTGGTGCATGAAAAACACCTCGCCTAGTCAGTCTCTACTGTTTTCCCTGGCTAAAACCCATAACCCCATGCTGAAGCTGTAGTAGATCAGACCCTCAGAGTGTTTCCCCATCTGTAGATGCTGTACAGACCAGCAAAGGACGTTTGGCTACAGCATTTACAGAAGATGCCTCTGCGTTAGGTCAAGCTAGCTCAAACCCCCAAAATACGTTTAGAATAGAAAAAGAGGAAAAGTCTATGACTGGTCCATTGTACTTGGTGTAGATTCTGTCTGAACTGGAACAGGCAACCGGTGGAAATGTTCAATCGCTTGGGCGACCTTCTCTGGGCAGATGTTGTAAACTGGATGAGTTGGTGCCTGGATGGAAGAAATATGAAAACATTTAGCTATATTAGTACATTCATCTCAACTGAGTTTTCAGTATCTCTCACCAGTCTGTTCTCGTCCCGACCGAGGATCAGCTCGTTATGGAGGTCTTTGTTTCCGAAATGCTGTGCTATCGAGAGTCCACTCAGACAGTAGCACGTGTGGTAGAAATCTCTAGACCTGTGGGGAATCAATGCTGATCGATTATGAAAGTCTGGTTTGGTCTTCATAATTTAGTAAAAGGACCAAAAAATTGGTTTTGTATTTTTCAGATCTTAAAGTTCACATTTTATTTTAGTTTGATCCACAAAGTTAAAAATACAGATGTAATGACCTACAAGAGGCCAATGGTTTTTCCATGACCTTTCCAGCTAGATGTTTGTGGTTTTGTTCGTTACTGGAAAAAGGATATTTACAAATCATTAAAAATCCTGTTTGTGATTCATTGAAAAGAATCGTTTCAAAAGAATGATTCAATCACAAATTTGACATCACTACAGAAAGTTTTGCTCCACACAAATTCTAGATGAGCATTATCTAGCTGATGAAATGTTTTAGAGCGGAGTAGAACTAGAAAATGCATATTCATCATGATAAAAATGTACATTACTTTTTTTGGTTGGAAATGAATTAAATATTCAGTGTAAGTATATAATTATCTAAACTTCATCAATACATTTTCTCCCCCAAGAAAAAAACAAAAAACTAGTATATACCTTATTTCAGTGATTCTAAACCAGGGGGTCAGGGCCCACAAGTTCTAAGAGGGCCTCAAAATGATATACGAAAAAATGATTTAAAATAAGACAAAACAAGCATTAAAATACAATAAACAACTTTGTGATTTTTAAATGTATTAAATTTACATTTTATGAATATTTTTCAAGTTATGCCAAGCTTTAAGATACTTTAATGGGTAGAAATTGTGAGTAAAAAATATTTTTAAAAAATCTTATCCAGTAAATCACAAAAAACTGGAAAGGTCATGGGGCCTTCAAATATTGTTTGGTGACAATGGGGGGCCTTCATGTCAAAAAGTTTGATAATCTGACATTTAATTTGACACATTACCGGTACACATTAATGCAAGCTTATAGACTGTATTATCTATGTATGTATTTGTGGGTGTGCAGTGGAAGAGCTGTACTCACTTGCCCGGTTTGTCCAGAAGGCCTCCACCAGGATTCTGGCAGCAGAGAAGGATGTATTCCTGCAGAGCCTTTCTCTCAAACATCCAGCTACTCACGCTCAGCGTTGAGTCTCCTACACACACAGTAATATTTTCATAGGTTAATCTACCAAATCTGACACTAGACCTCATGTGTTTTATATCCATGTTGGGTTTAAATGAAGACAAAAAAGAAAAAGTAAATGAATGACATACATCAGAAAAAACAGACAAAAATGTGAAAAAGTAAAGGAATGTATGAAAACTATAACCTTATGAACCTTGTAGTATTTTAATCACTCGATTACCGCTAAATGTTTCATATATAAGCAAAAGTGTTGTTGTTGTTTTTCTAGGATGACTGCTCACCTTCTTTAAAAAGAGCCCTGTGGAGTAACGGTAATAGCCCTGCTTGCCAGAAGGAGTAACACCCATCCACCAGCTTGTTACAGCGGCCCTGAAAACCACCTTCAAAACGCATTTGTCTACTGGTTACCCAGCGCTAATGAAGGAAAAAGAGAGAAAATCCTCCAATTTACAGGTTTACAAGTATCAGCATAGGAAGATCATTAGTGCTGCTGCCTTATCGGTAAGACAAATCTGTCTGTGCACTGGGACTGTTTAGGTCAACATCTGCCAAAGACCCTGGAGATCTGCTGATCTAAGCATGTACAACATTGCAGCACAATGCATGTTTAGTGTCCCAGAGGAACCGGTAATGAGGCACTTCTCCACCAATGTTCAGGATACACGCAACTGACCTTTAATGCATCTCATAAACCTCAGTTTATTCACTCTAATGGACAGGAAGAGTCAGGTTAAGTAAAAGATGGAACTGTAGCAAAGGGAAAACAAGGCAAGATACTTACTAACAAGGTTTTGAGATCCAGCATATGTTCTTTGCCCAGTATGACCAGGGCAGCAGTACCACAGAAGGTATAGCCGCCATGTGCTTCAAGTCCTGGTACTCCACCTAAACCGCCCTCCCAGTTCTGACAGCTGAAGGCCGAAGGAAAGCACAACATCGCAGTATTTATCGGTCAAAGAATTATGTCATTCTGTGTGCCGTGTCTGAGATTTAATTCATTTAAGGACGGAACACGCTTTTGTGTTTAAAACGTGAAACACAGGGCAGTGGAATGAGAAAAAAAAAGATTTTTTTACAAGTTGAACTCAACTTGTAAAAACAATCGTCTGAGTGTCGTCACCTCCTGATACAAACACGCCCCATAGTTTAGTCCCACTCCTGACACTGATTAACAGGTTTCCGTGGAAGGCATCGAAAATTCAAATGCTAAAGAAATTGCGATTCCGGTTGAGTTTTGGCAGGTTACATGCGTGACACAGAGAGAGTGAAAAAGCAGACGTGGTAATTAATATTACTATTTAAATATGACAGGCTCATTACTCGCAAGACATGGGTAATACATTTGCAAATGAACTTGGCTTTTCCATTCGAAATTTGACAGTCAATGTGCATTCGCGAAAGCGAAAACGCAGACGGTCATGCAAGATCTGCAATTGTGTTTGGATTATGTCACAATTTATGCATCCACATATGTAAAACGCAATTGAAAATACAGTTTGCAATTCCTTTTGAAAATATTCCGGAATATCCTTCCATAGTGAATGGCCCTTTAAGGTGTAATAAATAAATCATTTTTATTGATATTAAAATGTTTTTCCTAAAAATTCAGAATTAGTTTTTCTGTTCAACCATGTTATATGGGTGAATAGCATGATATAGACAAGATTTGGGCACCAAATGGGTTGTTCCACAGGTTTCATGTTGAGCCTATATTTGAATCAGCCAATCGGAATCACACATATAATCTAACGGGGGCTAATTCAGATAGGGCCGACATATAACTCATGGACAAGCTCATTACTTCAAGCCCATAACATGCCTACATTGGCTCCACTATGAAATGTTGGCTAGGATAATCTGAATGTATTATTTATTTATTTATGATTTAACGCCATGTCAGCAGCAGTGGATATATTCATGGCAAGAGGAAACATTTCAATTTCACAATTCAGTCATATACATCATTTCAAAACAATTATATAACAGTTTTGTTTGAAAATTATATATATAAATAAATAACTATGTACAAATATACAAAAACATACATATAATAAAAATAATAACAAGAACAAAAGTAATAAGAACAATTATATAGAGTCTTTCAGCTTAATGCATGACAAAAATTTTTAAATCGTCCCAGGAGAATTCTTTTTAAAAATGTCCATTCAAATATTTTCTGAATAAAAACGTTGCCTAGTATTATTTAAAACTGGACATTCAATTATAATCTGAATGTAACTGAATTGGCATGTTTTGAAATAGAATGTGGAAGTAGTTACCTGAGAATCCAATTGTGCGTCCCATCAAACAGGGTGGGGGTGATTATATTGGTGAGTGAAGCCACAGAAGCTGCACAATATGCACTCCTATCAGATTAGACACACAAAAGCAACCATGAGTCAACAGGCAGACAATGATCACCATCTATGCATGTTAATAACCACAAGCTACATAAGACTAAGAATAAGACTAAAAGTCTGTAGGATCCAATTAGTTTTCAAAGTGACTTTCTTTGTTTAGCGCTGACCTATGGTGAACATTAAGCATTTTCTAGCACTAATCTGTCTGTTGGGAACAGTAAAAGGTCACTCTTGAAAAATGCTTTTAACATCAGAACATGGGGAATAGAGAGATGTATGGATGTTGTGAAGATGCTTCAGGGTATTCTGGAACAACAGTGACAGAACTCACCTGACATCCACCTCCCCGCCCACATGCATCACAAAGGAGCCATCTGGCTGCTTCACAGAGTAGAGGAAATCCAGAAGCTTCTCTCTGATGGGGGAGGGGGGGGAAAAAGATTGAGTTTCCATGGTAATATGATCAATGCAACATCTGTAGGTAAGCAAGTGATAATACAAAGCAAATGTGAAACCTGTTGATGACTTTGTAGGCCTCTTCTGTGCCCAGGATGCAAAGGGCATTTACAGCTGCGTAGGTGGGAGCCAGGTGAGCGTGTTGACACGGACCTCCACTGAACCCACCTGTCGGACTCTGACATCTGGCCAGAAACTGACACACGCTAGCAGACAACAGTTAACATTGTGATATATTTACGACATTCAGGCATATAAATGTCATAGGAACTTAAAGTGCCCCTGTTATGCCATTTCGAATATTGCCTTTTATGCAGTGTGTAATGTAGTGAATGTAACCGATCTGCAAAGTTGTAAAGCTGAAAGTGCATGATAAATGAAGTTATTGGGACCCACTTTATATTAAGTGGCCTTAACAACTATGTACTTACATTTAAATTAATAATTTGGTACAATGCACTTATTGTGTACATACATGTTTTTACATTGTACTTATATTTTAAAAATACCTGCATGTAATTACGTCTTTAATTAATTTCTGTAATTACATTTATAATTACACAGTTGACCCATCCCTTACACCTTAACCCACCCTTAATCCTACCCATACCAACAAACCTGTCCCTAACCTTATCCGTATCCCACCTCAATAGCAGCAAAAGTGTTTTGCAATACAATATGAACATAATAAGTACATTGTACTTAATTTTTGATGCAAGTACATAGTAGTTAAGGCCACTTAATATAAAGTGGGGCCAGTTATTGTCTCCCAAAAGAAAGAAACGGCTCAGAACAGTCTAAACGAGTCGTCGTCAGTAATTTGAATCCCACTTCCGTAACGGCTACACGTCACGTAACACATTTGCATAATGCCCGCCTATGTTCTACATTGGTCAGCTGCGAACACTATAGCTTGTTCGTGTGGTTAACATCTCAACATGTCGAGAAGACGCTGTGTCCTATGCTGTGTAAATTTGTTTAATTTTCACTTCCGAAAGATGAGGCTGCAAAGAATCAGTGGTTAAAATTCACAGTAGTACAACCCCAATCTTTTTTTGTGTTCCCATAATTTTACTGATGACTGCTTCTCTAATCTCTGGGAGTTCTATGCGAGTTTCACAAAACGCTTGCTTTTGAAAGATGGTTCAGTTCCCAGTTTATTTGGACCAGCTGTCTCCACTGAATCACAACCTGTAAGTATGATAAATAATAAATGTTTATATTTTCAGTCGAGCATTCAAAATATACAACTATGGCAAAAGACTGAATCTTAGAGCTCCTTCGAACGAATCATTTGAGAATCGTTGGAAAATGAGGTGATATTAAATGCATATTTTGAGAAAACGAAAGCAATTTTTGACCTTGCATGCATGTAAACCTGTTGAAGGAGACTCCCAAAACAATATTAGGAACCTTAAAAATGGCATAATAGGGGCACTTTAGAATTTAAGCAAAAAGCCATATCCTAAAATTATTAGGGAAGCACCTTTATTTTAAAACATTATTTTCATGCTTTCATTGATAGCAGACAAATGACAGATATTGAAATTCTATATTATCTTGTCTAATTACATTAAAAATAAATAACAAAAAAATAAAATGAATCATTTTACATGCTGCAAGTGAATGTAAGCATCACACCAAAAAAAAAAGGATATTCAGTTTGAGATTTGCTCAAGATTAATTTTAAAAGTGTTATTAAATTACTAGTGTTTTTAAGATAATCTAAATGTAAAAATATGCTAAATAAACATGCTCAATTAGAAATGCAATATTGACAGATATCAACAGATTTGAAAAAAAATCTCTTATATCAAACACAATCTCTTAAATGAAATAATGTAAATATAATTCCCTAAATATATTCCAGTCTCTAATTTGACTTTGCTATTAAAGTCAAATTTGCTATTAATGCTGTATAAAATTTATTAAAATTGACTAAATTATCGCTTTCAGAAAAAGCATTAAAAACACTAAAGAATGCAGTAACAATCATAGCAAAATTATGACTACAAAAAGACTCTTCTAATGAATTTACCTCTGTGTTACAGTCACAGTCTGTGTTACAGTTATTTCTGCCTGTTTGAAAGTCATAACCACCTAAGATGTCTTCAACCAGGCAGTTATAAAGCGATCTAAGCATAGTCTGCGTGGAGAAAGAATGCATCTGTGTCATAGCTACTAATGTAATGCAACTTTGACTTTATCTGTAGTGGTCACGTTAAGACCAGGATAGTAAGGGGGTAAGGGGATAGTAAATGGGTAAGGGGACCCAAGCATGTGTCTCACTGCCACATGTACTCTGAATCGCAGAGAAGGGCTGGTACTCACTCTGAGGCAACTGCTGCCGGCACAGGCTCCTCTAGTAGCTCCAGACTGTGCAGGATCCAGTAGCAGAGCCAAGGCCGGCTGGCATCCAAACACTGAAGCCAAATAACATGCAGATTCAGCACCCATTACCCGTTGAAGTACTAAAATAACTCAAACTAAATTTAAAAACTAAAACTTAATAAAAACATATTATAAAGACGTATTATAAAGACATTAAAAACCACAGAAAATATAAAAATAAAATCTAACTCAAAATGTTAGCAAAAACTATAATAGTATATCAGTGATACTACAACAACACTGCTCTGAGTTTTTTCAAAAGACACTGTTTACCTCATATGCATCAGAGAGATGGCGTAAACCTTTCTTCAGATAATGATAGTGTTGTTCCCTCAGTAACGTGGGCCTGAAAAAATAGGGTAGAATCATCCATTTAATCATCTTATTAGAATCTAGCTACTACAAACTATAAATCATTTTTTAACAAAAAATATTACTCTATTCATAGTCATGTGATCAATTTGTATTGTCATCAAGATTTATAATAGCTTAGTACAAGGCAACAACTTATTTGTACAAAGTAAGTTCAACAACTGAGCTGACATCCTCCAATTATCCCCATCAAAGGAAGTGGCAGTGTTAAAGGGGTCATATGATGCTATTTTAAAGATCATTATTTTGTGTATTTGGTGTAACAGAATATGTTGACATGCTTTAATGTTCAAAAAACACATTATTTTTCAAATACTGTACATTATTGTAGGTCCTCTATGCCCCGCCTCTCTCAAACGCTTCGTTTTCTACAAAGCCCCCGAGTCCGTGAGTCAGAACAGCCTACACACAGTACACTTGACTTCAGCGCTGGCCACAGAGGTGCTGGGGCATGCCTAATTTGAGGGTACGTCAGCTGAGAGAACAGATCATTAACCCCTGTTCTCTCTCTCCTATGCTGCTCTCTATTGGGCCACAGAAAGCACAGTCATTACATTTGTGACAAACTGATCAGAGTGACGTATAACCTTCAACAGGCAAGTTTCATGTGAATTAATGCTTCAGTTGAAAGTTCAAAAGAACAGCATTTATTTGCTTTACAAATCTCTTTCGTAACATTATAAATGTCTTTACTGTCACTTTTGAGCAATTTAATGCATCCATGCTGAATAACTGTATTAATTTCTTTCAAAAAGTCTTACTGACCCCACACTTTTCAACAGCTGTGTATACGTACTAATTTTGTAAAAATTATTTGCCATTTACAACACTACAAGAACATATTGTGATAATCATATTATTACATGCAATAAACGGTAAGCACAGTGCTTACAAATGTGTTTTTGCACAGTTTCCTCACTGGAGTGTAAAATGAGAAAAGTTGTAAATTTGACAACAGAGGCAAAAAGTACCATCTGGATATGCGGCAGAACAGCTGATGTGCTACTACAGCATCTCTTCCAAATGTTTAGGGTTACACAACCTTTGTCTGGCAGTCTGATTACATCAGTTTAACCACATCTGGGTTTCTCATTTCATCTACAGGTACAAGTGTTCTGAGTATAGAAGTAAGTTCTGAAATGCACAGACCTCTGCTGTGGTGGAAGGAGGTGAAAATTAGATGTACTAGAGGCTAGGGCTGGGCAATATATAATATATACATTGAATATTAGAGATGTTATCGCGATAATTGAATAATCAATATTTCGTGACATCGAATATTGTCGAAAACAAGATTAATGTGCTAAAGACGGCAACAAATGTCACTCCTCCTGCAAACTAGCCAAAAAGTGCTTATATGTTCTAGCAACTAGTTCCCCAATCGGAAAGTTTTTAGTGCCAGTGGGAACATAATGTCATGCCACTGAGCATCTCTTAAACCACAAACCGTCGATAGACTTGTATTCCTAGCTAAAAACTTGTGACACACTTGCATAATTTATCCCAGTTGCACAGTGTAAAATATGCAAACAATGTAAATTATGTGTGAATTATTTTTTTGTACCCATTTTGCACTCTTTTTACATACTGTTAGATTTACATGTGTTAACTGAATAAAAAGAAAAAAAGTGCTCACTAGGTATACATTTTTTTAAACTGTGTTTTTGCACTAAACATTTTGAAAGTGCTTAGAAACAATAGCTGTCCTATCCAAATCATGTTTTCTTTTGTATCGGGAAACAGAAGAAAATCAACTTTTTAATTATTCTATAGCAAATGCAAAAACACAGAGATATCAAATTTGAGGTATATCGCCCAGCCCTACCAGAGGCAAATTTCTTAAGTATATTATTTATTGTTTCCTGCATATGCTGTGATGCTGCAAAATAATAACAATGAAAAGACTGCCTACAAAACATACATAGCAGACACAAGCAGAGGACAATCTAATGTTGGTTTTACTGCCAAAGACATTTTCATGAACAAAATATGTACTTTTACAGAATAACAGTGATTGCTGTCCACATGCAGCACACTGAAGCTCAATGAACTGGTATATCAATATTGTGGAGATCCTGCTTTGTGTTAATGGCCAGAGAAGGCTAAACTTTACTTACTGTGATGAGGTGTGAATTTGCTGGTAAACACTGTACACCTCTTGAATACTGCGTTCAACTTTTCTCTAAATATAATGATAAAACAGGAAACAACAAAAAAAAATGTGGAAGTGAGATAACCAAATAGAAAATGTGATAACAAGCCAAATGACATGCAGACAGAAAGATGCACTGTGGCTGATAATGCCTATATGCTGTATATATGGGTGGCTGACATTACATCTCGTTTTCAATGTGTCATACAAAGCCACAAAAATATTGTCTTATGTATTTTTATTTTGAAAATCATAGTATGACTTAATAGTGCACACTGGAATTTCAAGTGCTTGATTTTTTATAAAATTCAGAACTATAACAGTCACACTTTATTTTTAAAATAAAGGAAACTGAAAATACCACAGTGAACTATACGTTTTCTATGCCTTGTTTGCTAAAATTATTATTTCTAAATACACACGTATATATCACCTTTCACTTAATAACTTCTCATGGTTAACTGTCAACCAGCCATATAATAATGCAGGTCATACACTACAGTGCAACATGACATAAACCAGTGAAGTATGAGCAGATTCTCCAACGTTTATAGACGTTCACTCAGAAATGAAAAGTTTGTCATCATTTACACACCTTTTTGTGTTCACAACATTAAGGGCCGAGTAAATGTTGACAAAAATTCAATTTATGGTAAACTATCCCTTTAAATAAACCTAACGTTACCTATACTATTTACAGAAGTGCAAAAAACTAGAGGAATAAGTACTAGTTGAGCTGAATGCAGTGGCATTAGAATAATTATACCCAGCATGATTCTCAGTAAGCACTAACGTTACTGTATCCCTCAGCAAAGTGATGAATCACAGAACCACACATAATAGACAGTTAGCTTCGCGCTAATACCAATTAGCTAACTAATACTAAGAGTTAAGCTCACCTGTTCTCTCGAGGTCACCGTTTGCACGCCGTCATCGCTGAAAAGCTCAGAGGAGTGTGATTCACTAAAGCATCGCAGAGGAGGAGACGCCTCTTCCATGATGAGTTTTGAAAACACATGCACTGTAATAGAAAGGGAGCAGCTTTCTTCTTCTTCTTCTTCTTCTACTGTTTATTGGCGGTTGGCAGACTAGCTTATTAGTGCATTAGGGAGCAGCTTTGCAGCAGAGCAAGTGTCAAGACAGTGTGGGAGGGGTTTCCTCAATGGAGTCAAGTGACTTACAGCTCAAGTACGGAAAGCCTGAAGGCACATAATGCGGTAAAAATGATGGGACGTTCTGCAATTCTCAAAGAAGCTCGTTTCAATGAAACGGTTAAAAAAAAGATTGCATGACGCAATACGCATGACGTTTTACATAACGTCCGTGCATTGCTTTTTTTTTTTACTGTATATTCTCATTTTCTACATATTATAGTCTATATTCAATTTTTTCTATACTATATGATGGAAATGACTACTGTCATTGGCTGTAATATGACTGCATTTAAATAAAAAAAATCCTTACATAGCATTAATGTATTATTTTCAGATTTATATATTTGTTGTAATCATGATGAATTATAATTTTTTTTGTTTATTTATTTTGCTTATGTATAGGTGTTTTTTCTTTTCTTGCGCGTGTAACCGATATGTAATATTGACAGCTAGTGTTGAAATGGGTACTGCAGTCCAAATCAATTATTTATTTATTTTTTTACATTTGTAAGGGGATTTTTTATAATTACCTTATTTTATCTGTGTTGTATTTAATGTCAAATACTTAAATTTAACCAATTACACCAATCAATCAGAATACTTTAAACTGTTTGGGGAGCATTTCTGCTCATTTAGAACCTAAATATAACCTATGTTTACATTAAACAATTCTAAAATTAATTTTCATATTTTGGCTGAAAAAACGTTTGCACGTTTTAATAAAATTCCACATATTAAAGTCAATTCTATGTCGGACGTGTCTCAAATGGCAGTTCTCGGTTCAAGTGATTCAAGAAGCATTCAATTCGATACGTAAACGAATCATTCGGTCCGGTTTTTGAACCGATTCAACGGATTCATCGAAAAGATTCGACACAAAAGAACGATTCGGTCACGAATCGGGCATCGCTAATTATAACAACCATTATCCCATGTAGATGTACGCCTTTGGCGTGGTCAGTATTTTTTTGTAAACAGGCAAAAAGCGGATCCACTATCAATTTATAACGGTATAAAATGATAATATTGTGGATTTAATGTCTTTTGCCCCTATTTTATATTTTTGACAATATTGATATTACAATGTAAACAACTATAAATGTATTTCATCCACGCGGTCCTGGCATCATAGGCGTAGCTTGACGTTTGAGTTTGGGGGGGCCAAACCGAACCGGTGGATTTGGTCAGACGTACTTTTAAACACATTTTAGTTTTGCTATAGTAAATCTACATATTCACACAGAGCAGTGGCAAGTGCGTGAGGTTGTCATGGTAACCACATACATTGCGGCTACAATTACAGCAGCGCTTCTATTTTGTCACACTAAACTTAGCAATAAACACGTTTAAAATGCACAATAAACATGTCTGTCAAAACGATCTCAAAGGAGGCTTTTATTAAGCAAATCAAGGAGTGAATTACTCATCCACTGTTTTTGTTTTGATTTATTAATTTACTTACAATAACAATTTAAAATGTACGTATTCACTTTTACATGTATTATTAACTGCATTATATGCATTTTTACTTCATAGAAAAAAACTTTATAAATAAATAGTACAATTCTTAAATCGCTATGGGGGAGCCAGGCCCCCCTGGCCCCCCCACAAGCTACGCCCATGCCTGGCATATATACAATTAGGCTAATATCAGTATCAAAATAATGATGCTGCGTGCCCATAATCTCCACCCATTTCCTGAGGTGTGAAGGATGTCGGCGAAACGCACAGAGAGCGTTCTGTAGCCCACCGCACCCACCACATCAGCGTTCCTGACTGATTTCTGCTTACATCGACTCCTGCTTTATCTACACAGTCATTCGGGAAATCGGCACGGAGCACGGACCGGTCGATGGAACAAGCGAGAAGATGATACTGTGAAGAGGGTGGACATGGAAACCCGACGCTGAGTTCCTTTAATTGTGACCATAAGACACCATGGCCAAACAGTATGATGTGCTGTTTAGACTCCTGCTTCTCGGAGACTCCGGTGTCGGCAAAACCTGTTTGTTATGCAGATTCACGGACAATGAATTTCATCCCTCTCACATTTCCACCATCGGTAAGAGTGTTACTTTCATGCATCCATTCAAAGAGTTGCAAAACAAACAGCACATACCGATAAGAAAACCCATAGCAGCGCTGGGTCATTGTAGTCTATAAGCCGTGAAAAAAATGGCTTGAGAATTATACCACATAGTGAGATGCATTCACACAACCTCTTCTAGTTCTTTCTGAGATGCCTGACTGTATCTGTGTGTGAAGTCTTAAAATGTTGCATTTCTGCAGTTGTCACAAACCCAGTAGTGTTTGTTTTAGATCGTCCTGTTATAGATAATAAAAATGCAGTAAGATAAATTAATATAAAATCATAGGTTGCATGAATGGCAGTGAGGACACTAAAAGTACAGATCTATGTTATTGCATGCATTTTCAATAAAAGATGCATAAAAGTGTTCTGTCAGCCATTCCAACTCACACTTGCTGTTTTATACAAGTACTATATTGATATGAAATGGAAATCAGGTTTAATTCAATTGTAAGTTTTGGTCTCCGCTGTAAGAAATATGGAAAGATTTTTATTGCAATCTCTAAAAACTGTTTTCTCTAAAAGGACCATTTTATCACTAAGCATTCAAGCACTACCAACATAGGGATCTTTTTATTATTATTATTATTTTGGTTGATTGGATGTTATGAAAAACTAAATTTGGTTCTTAAAATGCTTTTCATAAACCTCTCATTTTGGTGTTCATATATAGTGTGCTCTTGGTCTAGTGGGACATTTTCCCAGTGGGCTGACATTACGTCCTGACAACAACCAATTTACTCACTTGAAGAGGATGAACAGAGATTATTTTACAACAGTTTCCAGAAATACATAATTTTATATTTTTCATATGCTAATATGTATAAGGACACTTACTTATTTTTAACCACAAACCCATTCTTAATACTTCACTTATTAATTTTACCTATTTTGTTATGCTTATGTATAAAGGTAAACTAGATGCTTATATATGTATAAAGATCTTTTAAAAGGATAGTTCACCCAAAAAATAAAAATAAATAGTCACTGTTTACTTGCCTTTCCAAACCTTTTTGCTGCCTTGGAAACCATGAAAGTAGCTATCTAGCAGAATGTCCTAGCTGCTCTTTAGTCTTTTCCATACAATGAACATGAATGATGACCACAACTGTCCCCATGCAATTTCATTGTATGGAAACTAGCAGCTTGGACATTTAGCTAAATATCTAAGTTTGTGGTCCACAGAAGGAAGAAAGTCAAATGGGTTTGGAATGATACTAGGGTGAGTAAATAATGATTAAATTGTTATTTTTGTGTGAACTGTGAAATCTATGTCATTGTGTAAAATCTTCGTTTGTGTTCCACAGAATAAAAAATGTATGTTTCAAAAGATGTGAGGGTGAATAAATGCTTACAAAATTCACATTTTGGGTGAACTATTCCTTTAATGAAGCATTTGAGCTGCTGAACCCGTACCAAAAATGTTATCCCCCAATTAAATCACATGCTTCATTAGGTGTGGACTGTGGAGTGAATGTCAGGCTGTTATTTAGCAAAAGTTCAGGGTATGCTCTGTTGTGTAGCTTTCTTGGTGTTTCTAGGGGAGAAAATAATATCAAGAAATCAGGCATAGGATTCATAACACCCTCCTAGCGTTCCTGATGATTATATCCCCCCAAATCAATAAGGAATTTGAAGACCTGACTCATTCCTGCAGCCTGTCCCGCTACTGTTTATTTAATATGCTGGGATGGATCTCTTTTGGTTAAGTAGTGATGTGATACAGAACAGTCTTTAACTGCAGGAGATAAAAGATTTAGTCTGACTGTCTTGAGAGATGGCTGGTGTCTTGCCCTAAAAAATGGTTCAATACGCTCTAGTCCGCAGGGCTATGACCCATATATATTATGATACTAGGCTATCAAAGACCTTAGCGCTGTACTGAAAAGTTATTCACAGTGGAAGAGATATCTGTGTGGTCTGACAGATCATTTGAAGCATTAGCTAATGGTTATCTATTTGCCTCGAGGCAACATGCTGTTATGCTAAATTATTCTTGCTATAGAAAGCAGCTGTTGATTGATCAGTTCGAGGATAGCAAATACAACAAGATATGATCTCCATTTCTATTTCATTGCTTTCTCTAGTCAATTGTTTATGATGCTGTCAACACTAGAGAAATTGGATTTGTGTTTAAATTTGTATGTGATAATCACCATAGCATATCTGTCTGTTGTCTTGTTAAAATTATTTCCATTTCCAATTAGCCTCTGTCTCAGAAGGAAAGTGTCAAAGTGATGATTCAATTGTTCAGCTCTGGCACACTGTGACAAGTTTAATACTCTCATTACCGTCTGTCAAATGGCCATTCATTTAAAGGTCTGCTTTAATTGTCTTTATATTTTTGGTGCTCAGAAACCTTACATTATCAGAGGTAAGAAGTATTTCACTACTATGCTTTAATATGTTTTTGGGGAATCTGTGCTTTACTTGAGTTCTGTTAAAACCGATTTGTACTTTGGCTCAGTTACTCATTTACATGACACCGACATCAACTAAGAACTGAAAACATTTAATATGTTTTGGCCTTTCATTTACAAAACAACAGCGTTTTGGGGGCCTGAAAACCCAAATGTTTGAAAACGGGTTTCAAAGTGCAAGTTTTTCAAGATTATTCTGTTTTCGTCTCCGTGTAAACTATAAAAATGTGAATTTGTGAAAACGGTGGCATCATGTGCATGCGTATTACGTGTTCAGTCTATAGGTATTTTCACATGCGTGTAATGTTTCTTTGCAAAGTGACATCGCCAACTACTGGCCTGGCATGCATAATACAGCATCTTTAGTCATTTTCTCAGGTCCGTGTGATTTGGGATCGTTTTGACAACATTGTTTTCTGTACGTGAAACTTCACAAATGCAAAGGAAAAACTTTTCCATTTGTAGTACATAGTTGTCATGTAAACATACCACAAGTTACATTTACAAGGTAAAAAAAATAGCTTTTTACTTTTCAAAATATTCTTTATGTTGACTAAAAAGTACAACTTAAATATTTTTTCAATTATTAAAAATAAAAATAGTGTTTTTCTTTATCCTAATGTGACTTTGAAAGACCAGGGTGATTAAATTATGTCAGAATGTCCATTTTAGGGTGAACTATCCCTTTCAGACACATGAAATTTGATGTAAAGTAATGTCTTTTTATGATAGCCATCTCTGTAGATGGATGTTAAGTGTGAACACGGTAGTCTAAAAATTGCTATATTCAAATGCCAACCACTGTAAAATCGTTAATTTAAAATCATTCAGGTAACAGGTTTCAGGATATTGGTTTACTTTAACTTCTGCTTTATGAGTTTTACATAGGCAGAACAATGAGAAAATAGCCATTTTAGACAGGTTTCTTTCTTTTTGCATCAAAAATACTAAAATGAGAAAATCTCTAAAAAACTTAGAAAAAAATGGCTTAGAAAAGTGTTTCATTTTTCAACTTTAAATACTTTTACTTTCACCAAGTAGTGTAGTGTGTGTGTACTGTTCTCAGTACTTTTACACCCCTGCATAGTATTGATTAAAATAAAAGGGTTTTGGATGAAAGCTGGTTTATCAAATCAAAAAGCCATCAGAAGTGCCCTTGAGAATATGGAGGAAATCTGACCTAAAAGTTCTTAAAGGTGCACTCATTAATTTTTGGTTTATGTCACACTGACTGATATGGGATGTTGCGACATCACCCAAAAGCAATACTTTTAGAATGATGATGATACTGAAATGTGCTATTCGCAATCAACCATGGTTAATTTTTTCGGTGAACTTAAGTTTTTAAGTTACCAAGGTACAGTGAGTAGCTTGTCATGTGATCCAACATGGCCGCTCCAATGAAGGGACACACTCTGTAAAACAAAACAGATTTTAATAGACTATTTCACTGTTTTGCGATTTCACTGGTGTCTTCATCTCATTTGAGTGCATATTTTTTATTTTTTTAATGAGAAAAGGATTACAGTTATTTACATCACTTTATGTGAGGTTGGTTTGGTTTTTCTTTTATTGTTGTAGTATTTCACAGCATTGTTGTTGTCCTTTCACTGCCCGAGATTCTGGAAGAGAGGACGGGAAGGGCAGCTCTTTCATTATTTTCCTTTGCCCCAGGCCAACCAATTCAGTGGACCTTGATGACCTTTCTGTTTGTCCCTGTGTGGAAGCTGAGGGCACTAACACTACTGCTTTATTTCATGCAGTTTAATAAAGAGGAGGCTATGGAGCTCTGTGGATGGCACTCAACTGTATTCAAGATGGTTTTGTACTCATGTCTTATTTTAGTATTTCTTGTGCTTGCACTTTGTTGTGCGTGAGATGCCATCTGGTTCCAGTCATTGAATTGAATCTTTTGGGGGGGGAAAATGTTTGATATGAAGACCTGTATACAAGCTGTCTAAGTTGTCTCTCTAAGAAAGAAATTTGGTGATTAATCCTTTTTTTTTTAAATCACATTGCTGACAGGGCATGTTAAACATTACAGAGACAACCGACTACTGTTGTCTTGGAGTCATAATTGTTATTGAGAATGGATCTTCCTAGAAGAACAGCTCTTCCGGGAGCTGCAATGTCTCGCAGTGGACCTTATTGACAGATACTCATTTATCATTGTAGTTTTGCTGTGGCTTTATTTTCTTGCCTGCCTCATGTTTAATAGAGAGGTGCTTTCTTTCAGGGCTCTATTTCTTATTATGGTTTCACACCTTACAAGAACACGTCGTTCCTAATATATAGTACACTTTCATGTTCACTTCATATGTCTCTAAATAAACAGAATCAAATATTAAACTCATAATTTTTAATGGAAGAAATCAGGTGAATTATTTTTTCGTAATCACAATATCAAAATGAGGTGAACAGAGATCAAGTATTAACAATGAATTTAAATAGAAATAAAAAAAATCTAAGTCAACTCCATGTGAGCTAATTCCTTATTTCCATTTTCCACCCTTTTAGGTTCTGTCCTGTAAATGTTCTTGCCAGTGATATACTGAATAAACCTAGCAAGTGCTTAAGCTTGACCTAAGAATATTTCTATAAAAAATGTCATATCCTTTTATAGAAATATCTATTAAATTGCGAGCAAATTTTTCAACATGTCTCTCTTGTAGTCACCATTTCTGCTTCTTTGAGATGGTCCTCACTGCAGAATCACAAGATCCAGGGGGCGAGGTTGGATCCAGATCCAACTCCTCCCACCTTACATATACCTAAACCTACCCGTCTCCACCCCGATCCCTACACCCACCCATCTCCACCCCTAAACCAACCAATCTCCACCCCTAAACCTACCAATCCCCACCCCCTAGATGTGGATCAAACCACGCCCCCTGGATCTTGTGTTCTGCAGTGAGGGGCTACTGGCTTCTTTCCTATTCTTTATTACTTCACTGCCTTTTTATGAGTCTGATTTGAATGGTTCAGTAAACTTCATGAGAACACTGATTCTACCAAACGATTTCATTTAGATTTGGCTTTGAGCCTAAAGATAGTTTAACAGATGAGTTGTGCCACTAACCACACAAAGAGTGCTTTTTTCATTTTAAAGTCATTTGAATTTTTTTTTTTTTACCCCAGGTGTCGATTTCAAAATGAAGACCTTGGAGATAGATGGCATTAAAGTACGAATACAGATATGGTATGTTTGATTTTTCTCTGATGATATAACAGCGTTTGATCCATTGGTTGTGCTAATCAGTTGTGTGTATGTACGCAGGGACACAGCAGGTCAGGAGAGATATCAGACCATCACTAAGCAGTACTACAGAAGAGCACAGGTGATCTTCACTCATCTCACTGACTCATATCTTATGTAATAAAGGAGTCAGGTCTAATAGAGATGCCTTTTGGTGTCCATTGTGTGGTAATTCACTGATAAACGCTCATTATAATGTATGGGTGGATTGAAATTGATTCTGTATCAACAGGGCATTTTTCTGGTGTATGACATCACAAGCGAGCGCTCGTTCCAGCACATCATGAAGTGGGCCAGTGATGTAGATGAGGTGGAGTTTAAAGCATATCTGTCTTGCTGAAACTAAATATAACCCGCTTCTTATTAATATCTCTTCATTTAAATTCCACCGCCCCTTGTTCTCTCTTTAACTCTACATCCACAGTGGGGTCCTAACAGTCAGTGCAAATCTGGGATATAAAAAATTGAATTTAATTAACAGCAACTGAAAGTTTTGGGATTTAGGAAAAAGTAAAACAAAGAAGCATTATGATGTGAAAATAAATCCGTAATATTTAAGATTTTGCACTTATTTCTGGGACACTAAGCAAATTTGTTACTTATTACTAAGTTTGACTAATTATAAATCCTACATTTTTTTTTTTTTTTTCAGAGCACCAAAACATTTTTTATTTATTTTTATTAATATTAATAATATATATTTTATTTAGCCTTTTTCAAGTTACAGTTCTGTTTATATATTATTATCATAAATAAAACACTGAAATACATTTTTGAACCTCAAATGTTCATTGTGGACTTTTGGACCCCACTGTATGATTCGTATATTACGTTTAAAACACTGCCACCATGTTTTCCCACTAGAGGACAAAGGAAAACTTGATATAAACACAGAAATTGTACTAAACCAATATCGGTGATTATTGTTGTTACTTGAACCGGAGCACTTTTGTTATATGAATTCTATGTCGCATATCATATTTGTCTGTTTCTGCTCCATCCATTCGCCTCTGTTGAGTCTCTCTTCTCGTCTGTTCTGTCTCTGATCAGTACGCCCCTGAGAAAGTGCAGAAGATACTTGTTGGGAACAAGTCTGATGAAGAACAGAAGAGACAAGTAGCTACAGAACAGGGAAATAAGGTAAATAAATAATACTTCCCTCCTGTGCACTTCATCTTTCATTCATAGTGCCATTTACTCCACATTTACTCTGTCATGTGACAAACCTAATATCTGATGTCTGAGGTTAAAGACTTTCTTCAGACATCTTCATCTTTTTTGCTCCAGCTTGCCCAGGCTTATGGAATGGACTTTTTTGAGACAAGTGCCTTTACCAACCACAACATTACAGAGGTACAATGTTGTCTGCGTGATTTTTTTTTTCTCTGCAGTATTTCTGTATTTTTGTTTTTGTTTTGTTTTTTAAATATTTGAAGAATGGTGAATCTGTGCAACCGTCTGATCATTTTGTTTGTACATTTTTATAATCTACAGCTAATCAGGTTTTTTATTTTCCTTTCCGTGTTTTTTCAATTACAGTCTTTCACCCGATTGGCTGAATTAGTCTTACAAGCCAATAAGAAGGATCTTGATTTGTTGGGAGGATCCATGAATGACCAGTTCAATCTGGCTGTTTTGGAGGAGCAGGAAGGATTGTGTAATGTTAGTGACGGCACCCATAAGTCCTGCTGGTGCTGAGGACAGGAAGTGACATGACTACTTTTTTCAGTTGATTTCCATATTTATGTTACATTTACGTTTTGAATATCATTTTGCAAAATTGAACGTTCTTGTTAAACAGTGTTTAATGGCTTATTTCCTGCTGATTCTCATGAATATTATTTATTATTCATTATTTATTTTATACTTACTATAAATTAAGATGGAACATTACAGAATACTTGTGTATTAAGAATATTTTTCAGTTTTTTCTTAGTTTGAAAAACGAAATCAAAAGGGCACTGCAGTGCAATTGTACATTATTTAGTTATGCTCATTCAAGCCACACATTCAGAGTCAGTCAGTTATATTCAATTTTACAAATATAAAAAACAAGTTGATTAAAGTGTAAGACAACATTGATGAAATGGTTTATTCAAAGGAATAGTGCACCCAAAAATGAAAATGTGCTGAATATTTACTCACCCTCAGGCCGTATGTCGATGACTTTGTTTCTTCATCAGAACAAGGAGAAATTTAGCATTACTGTTTACTTTTAATTTAGCACCACTTGCTGACCAGTGGATCCTCTGCAGTGAATGGGTGCCGTCAGAATGAGAGTCCAAACAGCAGATAAAAACATCACAATAATCCACAAGTAATCAACACGACTCCAGTCCATCAATTAATGTCTTGTGAAGTGAAACGCTGCGTTTATAAGAAACAAATCCATCATCAAGGTATTTTAACTTTAAACTAAAGTTCCATAATCCATACTAAAATTCCATCTGCTGTTGTCTTCTCACAACAAAATACACCAACACATTTGTTTAGAACTGTTTTGGACTGTTTTCTCTTGTGAACAGTGCTTGATCTGTGCATATTTCTCTCGATTCAGAGAAAGCAATATTATGGATAGTGTCTTGCTGGATTTGTTTATTACAAACACAGCTTTCCACTTCACAAGACATTAATTGGTGGACTAGAGTCATGTGGATTATTGTGATGTTTTTATCAGCTGTTTAAACTCTCATTTTGACGGCGCCCATTCACTGCAGAGGATCCACAGTTGAGCGAGTGATGTAATGCTACATTTCTCCAAATCTAATCCAATTTTAAAAAACTAATTTGTCTACATCTTGAATGACATGAGAGTAAATCTTAAGCAAATCTTCATTTTAGGATGAACTGTTCCTTCAACATGGTTGTATGGCTGGAGCGCCCTTGTTAACGTATATTCTTTCTTGTGGTTTGCTATGGGACTTCATGTGAATATATTCAGATCTGATTTGGCTTTCTATAATTTTTTTGAATACTAAAACCTTCAATGCACCTATACTTGACCAATGAATGCTCTTTCAAGGTAATACATTTATTCTTGAGTGATGAATTGATGAAGCTTCTCATGTCAGTGTAACAATACACGCTTCTTTTCTGTAAAAGCACCGTAAAAAAAAAAAAAGTCACTAAACATGCTACTTATCAGTTCTGGTCCACTTTGATTGTAAAGGAATGCAATGGTTTTTATCTCATCAATCTGAGGTTATTGCTTAAAATTGACTCAGATATTATAATTTAATGTGGTATTTTACACCAATATTACATCAAGCTCTCTTTTTCAATCAATAATCACTATTTACCTGATTAGAATAGTTGGAATGTTTCAACTTTTACTCTATAAATGATTCTGGAATTGATGTGGTTTAACTTTCATAACAGCACACCGAATAATATTTTTCTCCTGCTTAAATCAACATCTTACACGTAGAACTTGAGTGAAATGTATGCAGACTGAACTGAACCAGCATTTGATGCCGATGTGCATCGCTGCATTGACATGGGTTGTATTGCTAATGATTCAATGTATATTACACTGTTGCAGCATTTATATGTGCAAGCGGTATTGTACTATGTTGACTTAAATGAACTCTTGAATAATGCTGATATGTTTACCTGTCTTATCTGAGAAGTTGTTTCATGAAATATGTCCATGAAAAAAATCTGAGAAATGTAAATGCGTATGTGGTTATTTATATAAAAACTGTACTCTTGTGATTCTGTTTAGGGGTCAAGTAGTTACGAATAAACAGGTAATTTTTTTAATGAGGAATTTGGAGATACTTACAGAAGTCTCTGTAAGTGCAACACCACAAGTGAACACCAGGAGGCAGTTGTGCAAAGCTGAAATCCGTGTAGTGAAATGTAGTTATGCATCATAAAACACACTTGGGGGTAACAACAGGGGAAGAAGAATGTGTTTGCGGTTTTATGTAATGCTCGGAACTGGGAAATATCCTTCAGCATTTGTGAAGTATTTTGATAATGAAGTCAGCTCATTTGCTTAATTTTATCAAGGTCATGATGTTTTTTTTTCTCAGAATAAGAATTTGTTGATGCAACTGATTATTAATGGTACTTTAAAAATACTCTGAAACAAAATATTCTGCTTGTGCATTTTGTAGCAAAGCAGATCTCTCTCTCTCTCTCTCAAGGCCGTACACAGCTGGATGAAGCTTGGACAGATAGAGCACTAATTTAAGCAAATTTTGTGGCACAAGCTCATGTTTGCAGCTAATTTGTAAGTAATACGCATAAATCAATGCAACAATTACAGTGTAAATATATTACACAATACAATTATCTAAATGTTATGATCTAACTACATTCCCTATTATATTTCTTCTGTTTAATATATTGGTAGCACTTTACAATAAGGTTCCATTTGGTATAGTTAACTACATTAGTTAACATAAAATAACAATGAAAAATACTTCCAAGGCATTTATTAATCTTAGTTAATCGTTAATTTCAGCATTTACAACAGATTATGTAAATCAACAGTTTTCTTTTTTATATTATTTAATAGACCTGAGCTAACATGAACTAAACAATTGTTAGCAAGTGTCCATACTATGAATGTAACTTTAATTGCATGGAACGAATACACTACAATATATTTTCTATTCTGTTCTACAGAAGAAAGTAAGTCATACAGGCTTGGAATGACATGAGGGTGAATAAATAATGACAGAATTTTCATTTTTGGGTGAACTGTCTGTGTGCAAAAGGCAATATTTTTTGTCACCCCACACTCTCAAATGACAATGACTGATGTAAAATAGTAATGCAATATTTCACATTCATGTGCATCTATTACAATAACAAACATTTGTCTTCATTAATATTGTTGGAGCCTGTTTGGCTCACATGAACGCACAAATGTTTTCATATTCTACTAAAAGGCTCATTGATTTGCCTAACTCTGCTATTTAGACTAACTCCGCTCGATCTTGCAGGTTTGCATTGCACAACATCAGAAAGATCAGGCCCTTTCTAACGGAGCATGCTGCACAACTTCTTGTCCAGGCCCTTGTCATTTCTAGGCTGGACTACTGCAATGCTCTTCTGGCTGGACTTCCATCAAGCACAATCAAACCTCTACAAATGATTCAGAATGCAGCGGCACGACTGGTCTTCAGTGAGCCCAAAAGAGCCCATGTTACACCTCTCTTTATCTCCTTGCACTGGCTACCGGTTGCGGCTCGAATCAAGTTCAAGACATTGATGCTTGCATATAGAACAGCCACAGGCTCAGCACCCGCCTACTTCCACTCCCTACTACGAATCTACATCCCCTCCAGAAGTCTGAGATCCGCTAGTGAGCGACGCCTCGTGGTACCATCACAGAGAGGCTCAAAATCACTTTCCAGAACATTCTCGTTCACCATTCCTGGCTGGTGGAACGATCTTCCCACCCCTATCCGGAATGCTGAATCCCTGACCATTTTCAAGCGACAGCTGAAAACTCATCTCTTTCGAAGCTACTTGACTTCATCATCATAAAAAAAAAAAAAATCTCTCTCTTTATCTATTCCTTCTCTTTCTAGCGTGTACTTATTTGAACAATGTCTAAAAACTTGGTATTACAAGCACTTCCTGTATCTGTTTGCCTCTTTTAAGAAGAATCGCTTTATGTATCCCCCAATTGTAAGTCGCTTTGGATAAAAGCGTCTGCTAAATGTCTAAATGTAAATGTAAATGTATTTGCCTTTTATACAAATACTTCATTTAAATGTGTATTGTGTGCAGAGGATGCATTTGTAAAGTTTGTAAATCTATTCAGGTGTCACAGTGTGTTCTGTTGACGATGGCTCTATATTATGTGTCATCTCTGAGAGACAGAGTGGGCCAAGTGAAAGAGCTCCCTATAGTGTTGCTATAATGAAAAGTCTGAGCTGAATAATTTGACTTTTTACATCTCACAAGGTCTCATCGACTGTCTAATTGCATGAGGGACCTCAAGCCCTGACACGACATGATGAAGTATCAAGATGTTAAAAAATAAAGGGCTAACTTAGATAATATAATGGCAGTTATCATGTAAGAACAGCCAAAGTCTGAAGATTACATAAGAACACATTTGGCTCACATTCTTGAGTAGATCCAGCTACTGTAGATTTGACCTTTTTTTCTCCATCCCCATTGTCAGTATTCTGAGGTTTGGATCCGGGATCAAGCTAATTTTGGAAGACAGGGAGAGCTTCAAAAACAGCTCTTAGCACCCCTCAGATTTCCTTTCCTGGATAATCCTGTCATGCCATAATCAAATACTTCCATCCTATTGGCTCTCACCTATCCTCTTTTAATCAGTGATTTGCTCAGAACAAAAACTTGCCAGGCATTGAGAGAATTAAACCAATGCATCCTAAAGAGAGAGACAAAGAGAGAAACAAGATGTGCTTTAGTATTATTTTTGGGGTGCATGCGCATGCAGCGGGGGCGTTTGGTGAGGAGAGGGGGGGTCCAGCTTCAGGACACTTCTGCTAAGCACTGTGTTGTCATCCTCCCACCTCGCCACATTGCTTTCACACCAGAGTGAGTCACGCTGGCTCTCTGAGCTCTGGAGGTGCGCAATGTGGAATGCTAAGCACCCTGAGAGAACTTCACAGCATTCAGACTCTTTCTATTCTGCCTTCTCATCCCTCCTTTATACCTGCTCGAAGATGATGAAAAAGGCTGAGAGAAGGCTGCTTGATCTTGAACTAAATGTACATTTGGTGTTATTGATTTACCTTACTGTTAGGCTGATATTTATTGCAATAAATGATCTATCTATCTATCTATCTATCTATACCTAAACATTATATATAATGCGCAATATGTATTGTAAAAATATATAACATAATTTATTCAATATACATTTTGCCATACACACACACATATATATATATATATATATAAATTTAAATATTGTTCATTCTATATATTACGTTATAAATAGACAGATACAGATATATATTTATTTATATATTAAATAATTCTGATATACAATAAATTGAAATATTTTAAACATATATAATGTGCAGTATATACTGTAATATAATTTATTGTCATAAATATTGTTCATTATATATATATGCTATAGATAGACAGATACATATATATATTTATTTATATATTCAGTAAATAATATGATATGATAATCTATCTGTCTATCTCTCTGTCTGTCTGACTAACATATTTATAATGCAAAATATATTACAATAAATAATATGAATATTGTTAAAATATAGAACACATGCACAAACCCACACACACACATATATACATATATATATATATA